AAGGGCATTAGGGTGGGATGTAAAACTTACTCAGGTTGCAGCTCTGATCCATTGTAAGGGGGGCTTCCCTGGGGTGTGGCCTGCATTACCTTTTATCTGACAAAAGGGATAAAAGGAGAGAGATGTGAACTGAGAAAGGACCACTTGACTACTACTGAGAAGAAAGAGCCAGGAGTGGAGTGCATCCTTTGGACCCAGGCTCCCTGTGCTGAGAACCTTCTAGACCCAGGAGAAGACTGATGCAAAGATGCATGGAGATCTCCAAGGGACACCATGCCTACGAATGTTGAACAGAGACAAGGCCCTTCCACCAGGGCTGACAGAGAACACCCTCCCCTAGAACTACTCTCCTGAATTTGGACTTCTAGCTCCTAAACTGTCAGAGAATAAATTTATATTGTGAAATTCTGTTTGCAGTATTTTTGTCATAGCAGCACTAGAGAGCTAAGACATGCACTCTTTGCCCTATTCTTTTTCTTTAAAGTTACTAGAATATGTTTTGATTTTGGTTGTTTTAGATCATAGTCTCAGGTACATAGTGGGTTCTTTCCACAAGTGTCTTAAATTTTTTTTCTTCATACTTTATGGAAGTTTTCTTGAATTGTAGTTTCAGAGTTTGTTATTTCTTTGTTTCAGTTTTCTTCTTCAAGGACTCCTATTATCCATATATTGGATTATCTTTGCCCATCTGCAATTTTTATCATTTTCTCCCCCGTTATTTTATCTATTTTCTCATTTTTTATATTTAGTTACCCTCATTTTTACCTTGTTTTTATCCTTTGTGTTCCTTTTATTTAACTATTAATTCCTGAAATAGTTTTTCGTTTATTTCTGATTTTTTCTTATGTCTTGGAATATTACTTATAAATATTTCTAATTCTTATTTATGTACTTATTATGTATTATATAATTTTCTCAATGTGTTTTAGTTACTTTTGGACTAGTTCATTATAGTTTTCATCTGTTTTAGTGTATGTCTTTCTGGTATGCTATCATCATCTTTAGGGATGTTTTTATGTTTTTTATTCTTATAGTAACTTGGATGGCATTTCATCTTAACATTGATTGTCCTGTTGTTTATTTTTGTTATTTTAATTTTCATGAACTTTTTCTGTAGAATGATAATTAGCATTTGTGTCATGTGATCACTTGCTGATTCCAGACAATGGGTTCTGTTGTTTGTCCCTGTAGCTCTCCAGATTTACACAGGTGGGCCCAGTAACTGTGAGCCAGGTGGTCATTTCCTCAGACATCTTCCAGGGATGGGAGAGGTAAAAGGACAAGTCTGAAAATGCACAAATGATCAACTTTAAGGGCTCAGCTTTCCACTTGCCACTTTGCTTGTTGTTCTCCTCATAGCCATGACAGGTGGATTTTTACCAGAGCTCCAAGAGCTCCTTTTTAAAGACTCCTGGACCTCAAAGGCAGAGTCGCTTTTCCTGGACAAAGGGGCCTGCGAGACAGGGCCACATACATCTGGCAACAGGTCAGGGCATTATCTTGGTGTTGACTTGCTCAGTGCTCCTGAGCACATCATTTTTGGTAGTTAATTATTTTTCTCATCTGTTTTTGTGTGCGTGTTTGTGGTCAGTGGGGTTGCAGGACCAGGAGCCCAGAATGAGAGGTGAGGGAGGAAAGGCAGTGAGAGTTCTGAACTCAGAGGTGAGTTCGGGGTCACCTCCTGATGTATTGGTACGCTTGCCTTCATACCTCCCAGGGCAAGTGTGGATTGCAGCCATTCTTTCATTCCACAAACACTTCTTGAGCCCTTGCTATGTGCCAGATTGTGGGCAGTGTGATGGTTTAGCCAAAGGCTCTGACAAAATTGTTTTAAACATCTAGAAGGATACAAAACATTCAGTGAAAAAATTTCAGTGTTTCCAAATATCTAGATTTTAGGGATCACTGAGGTAGACAGCTTAGCTGCTTAGGTTTGTTTCCCCATTTTAGCCAAGAATATCACAGGAGGTAAGCACAGCACCTGCATTGTTTGAGTGTGAAGGGGTGCCAGGGGCTGGCTGGAGGACCCCCAGCTAGAAATGCAGCACCTGTGGCCTGCTACCCACAGGGTGTGTCCAAGAGGAGGTTTTTTAAAAAACTTTTATTGTTGTGAAAACATACAGAACAAGACATTCATTAACAACAACTTCCACATTTACAGCTCAGGGACATTGATGACATTTTTCATTTTGTGCCACCATTATTGCTATCCTTTTCCAAAATATTCTACCACCATTACCATAAACTCAATGCCCCGCAAAAAAACAAACAAACAAAAAACTTCCCCTTTCCCCCTCCCTCCTATTCCTGGTAACCACTGATAGTCTTTGGTGTATATATACGTGTATGTGTGTGTGTGTGTGTGTGTGTGTATATATATATATATATATATATACACATACCTATAAAACTCACAGCCATCAAGTCAATTCTGACTCATAGTGACCTCTACTGGGTTTCCGAGGAGGTAAATCGTTACGGAAGTAGATTGCCCAGTCTTCCCTCCTAGGAGTGGATATATAACCTATCTAGGAATTTTCCCTCTCCTCCCCTCCTATTCCTGGTAACCAACAAAGAAAATTCCTTCCATATATAAACCTTTCCTTGACTTTTTACAGTAGTGGACTAATACAACATTTGTCCTTTTGTGATTGACTTATTTCATTCAACATAATGTCTTCCAAGTTCATCCATGTTATACAGTGTTTTGCAGATTCTATATTATTCTTTAGTGTTGCGTAGTATTCCATTGTGTGTATGTCCCGCAGTTTGGTTATCCATTTCTCCATTGGTGTGCACTTAGGTTGTTTGCATGTCTCTGCTATTGTGAATAATGCTGCAATGAACATAAACCAAAAAAAAAAAAAAAAACAAACAAACCTCACTGCCATCAAGTCAGTTCTGACTCACAGTGACCCCTTTGGTTTCCAAGGAGGTATCTCCATGGAAGTAGATGTAGATTGCCCAGTCTTCCTTCTGAGGAGTGAGTGGCTAGTGGGTTTGAACAGCCAGCCTTCTGGTTAGCAGTCAGATGCCTTAGCCGCTATGCCACCAGAGCTCCTGCGATGAACATGGGTGTGTTTAAATCTATTCATGTCCTGGCTCTCACTACTTTGGGATACGTACCTAGTAATGGGTTTGCTGGATCAAATGGTATTTCTAGTTCCAACTTTTTAAGGACTCATCATACCCCATACCAATTTCCACAATGGTTGTATCATTTTACAGTCCCACTAGCAGTGTATTCATAAAGTTTTCTTTGCTATTCATAAGAAAACCTTATGAATATACTGCTAAAAGAACTAACAGATCTGTCCTGGAGGAAGTGCAGCCAGAATGCTCCTTGGAAGCAAGAATGGCCAGACTTCATCTCACCTATTTTGGTCATGTTGTCAGAAGGGATCATTCCCTGGAGAAGGATGTCATGCTTGGTAGGGTGGAGGGTCGTCGAAAGAGGGGGAGGCCTTCAACGAGATGGATTGACATGGTGGCTGCGATGATGGGCTCAAGTATAGCAGGGATTGTGGGGCTGGCGTGGGATCGGGCAGTGTCGTTCTGCTGTGCATGGGGTCGCTATGAGTCGGAAACGACTCGACGGCACTTAACAACAACAACAAGCAGTGTATGAGAATTCCAATCGCTTCACATCCTCGCCAGCATTTGTTATTTTCTGTTTTGTTGAACTTTCCATTAATGCTGGGGTGAGATGGTATCGCATTGTTTTGATTTGCATCTCTGTAATGGCTAATATTCACGAACATTTCTTCATGTGTTTGTTGGCTGCCTGAATATCTTCTTTGGTAAAGTGTCTGTTCATGTCTTCTGCCCATTTATTAATTGGATATTTGTTGTTTTTGTTATGTGCTGTCCAGTCAGGCCTGATTCATAGCGACCCCTCCTTGGGTTTCGAAGGTATCACTACGGAAGTAGATTGCCCAACCTTTCTTCCGAGGAGTGGCTGGTGGGTTTGAACAATCAGCCTTCTGGTTTTTTTAATATTGAGGTGTAATTTTCTATAAATTTTAGAGATAAGTCCTTTGTCAGATATTTCATTGCTGAATATTTCCCCCCAGTCTTTGGGTTCTCTTTTCACTCTGTTGGAGAAGTCTTTTGATGGACATAGAATTTAATTTTTAGAGGATTCTAATCATATAGTTTATCTTCTGCTGTTTGTACATTTTGGATTATGCTTGATAGCCCATTTATGCCATAAATTAGGGCTTGTTAAGTTTGCCCCTATTTTTTTCTTTGATGAACTTTATAGATTTAGGTTTCACATTTAAGTATTTGATCCATCGGGAGTTAGTTTTTTTATGGTGTGAGGTATAGATCTTGTTTTGTTTTTCTCCAAATGGATATCCAGTTTTGCCGGCACCATTTGTTAAAAAAGACTCTCTTCCCCATTTAATGGATTTAGGTCCTTTGTCAAAGATCAGCTGACCATAGGTGAATGGATATATTCCAGGGTTCTCAATTCTGTTCCACTGGTCTGTGTGTCTGTCGTTATACCAATACCAGGCTGTTTGGACTACTGTGCCTGTATTGTAGGTTTTGAGATCTGGCAGTATGAGACCTCCTACTTTGTTCTTCTTCTTCAGTAGTGCTTTGCTTATCTGAGGTCTGTTTCCCAAGGGGAGTCTTTTCCACTCTTCTCCTTAGCAGCTTCATCCAAGAGGTAGTGGTTTTGCCCTTTTCTGCATGACTTACTCCTGCAAAACAGATTTCTGTGGGCCTGTGTGTGCACCATCTTAAGCCCCAGATTGACAGTGCTCCCACATCACACGTTCTCTGTGGAATACCCACAGGTGCGCAGGCATGTTCTCCACCAGTGAGCTTTGCTTGTAATTTTTAGTTGACGTTTTAAGGGAAATTCTCAAATGGAAGATAGCCCCATGATTTGCATTGCACCAAAGCAAAAACATCTTTCCAACTTGTAGATTCAGGTTTCTCCTGATGAGGTGACTGCCTGCCAAACACTGAACATCTTTCTGTTGTTCCAGGTCAGCCGGGTAGAGCGGGAGAAGAACCAGGAGCTCCGGCAGGTGCGGGAGCACGAGCAGCACAAGAACGCCGTTCTGGTCACAGAGCTGAAAACCAAGTTGCACGAAGAGAAGATGAAGGAGCTCCAGGCTGTGCGGGAGGCGCTGCTGCGGCAGCATGAGGCCGAGCTGCTGCGGGTAATCAAGATCAAGGACAATGAAAACCAGCGGCTGCAGGCCCTGCTCAATGCCCTGCGTGATGGTGCACCCGACAAGGTCAAGACTGTGCTCATCTCCGAAGCAAAGGAGGAGGCTAAGAAGGGCTTTGAGGTGGAGAAGGTAAAAATGCAGCAGGAGATCTCTGAGCTCAAGGGTGCCAAGAAGCAGGTGGAGGAGGCGCTGACGATCGTCATCCAGGCGGACAAGATCAAGGCGGCTGAGATTCGGAGTGTGTACCACCTGCACCAGGAGGAGATCACCAGGATCAAGAAGGAGTGTGAGCGTGAGATCCGCAGGCTGGTATGTGGGCACTGGGCACAGTTGGGCAGTGTGGGCCAGGTGGATATCCCTCTGGCTTCCCCCTTGGTCTGTGTTCTCAGCACAACACATTGTACATAATCACTGTAGGTCGTATCTAGAGACACAAGACTATTAAAAGCAGAAGGATCCAGTTCAGAACAGGTAACAGTCAGATGCTCACAGGCAGAAGAAACCAACCCCATGCTCCCACTCTTCCAACCCCACTTCTCCTCATTTCTAGTTTGGGCTGGAGTCCCTGGGTGGCACAAATAGTGAGTTGCTCAGCTGCTAATTCAAAGGTTGGCAGTTCAAGTCCATCCAGAAGTGTGTAAGAAGAAAGGCTTGGCAATCTTCTTCTGAAAATAAGCCCTGGAAAATTCTATGGACTCATTGTTCTTCTCTGACACACAGGGCTACCATGAGTCGGAGTCAACTCCATGGCAGCTGTTTGTTTTTCAGTTCCTAGTTTGAACTAGAACAAGAAATCTAAAAGTTAAGTTTCCCAAAAAGTGTTTATGAAAGACTTCCCCCTTCTTAGAGTCCCAGTTTAGATTTTAAAGCCAATCAGGGTTTAATGTTTTGATGATATGAGTCACACACTTCATAAATAAAGGGTTTCATGGAACCTGCTGAACTCTCTGGATCTGGAAAGTGGAGGCTGTCCAGCTCCAATCTGCTCTAAGCTGCTAGTGGAAAACTTAAACTTAATGCCTCTGCTTAAAAAAATCATTGTCCACCACCATTGGATAGTGTTTTGAGTGTTATATCTAAAAGTTCCTTGCCTAGCTAATTCCATGAAGATTTTCTCCTATGTTTTCCTTGAGAAATTTTATCATTTTAGCTCTTGTATTTATGTCTATGGCTCATTTTGAAATAATTTTTGTGTGTGGTGTGAGGTAAGGATCTAAATTAATCTTTCTTGCCCAACACCATTTATTGAAAAGACCGTCCTTTCCCCCATTGAATTACCTTGGTGCCTTTGTCAGAAGTCAACTGACCATGAATATAAGGGCTTACCTCTGACCTCTTATTCTGTTCCACTGCTCTGATGTCTGTCCTTACACACCATCACGCTGTCCTAATTGATCAATGTGTCTATCATTATACCCCACCTCACTGTCACAATCCATCAGATGTCCATCCTAACACCCACAAAGCTGTCCTGATCCATCAGTGTGTCCATCCTTATACCTCACAAGGCTGTGTCAATCTTTATGTCTGTCCTTATACCCCACCACACTGTCCTGATCCATTGGTATGTCAGTTCCGACACCCACCACACTGTCCTGATCCATTACTATGTCCGTCCCAAGACCCACCATGCTATCCCGATCAATCAGTATGTTTGTCCTGACACCCACCACACTGTCCTGGTCAATCAGTATGTCTGTCTTTACACCCCACCATGCTATCCCAGTCCATCAGTATGTCCATCCTGACACACCAGCATGCTGTCCCAATCAATTAGTGTGTCTGTCCTGACATCCACTGCACCGTCCCAGTCTGTTGGTATGTCTGTCCCAACACCCCACCAGCTGTCCCGATTATTGTGCATCTCACTCAGCACCTGCAGGCACCACCATGGACTGGGGCTTGCTCCCAGAACTGAGTAGGGCAGGGAGATACTATCCACAGAGTCCCCTTCCTGAAGAGGGAGGCAGACCTCACCCAACACACAGGCATGAGGCAGCCTATTGGAACTAGTCTGGGTGGTAAGGGGAGCAAAGCTGGAGACTGCAAATTTCAGTCAGTGACCAGGGAGGAAATGAAGACAGTGTCCAACCTGGGACCTGAGGCATGAGGAGGGTCTGGCCATGAAAAGAGCTAGCAGGGAGTTCTCAAATTGGGGGAGCAGAGGAATAGAAGTGGGGCCGAGTTGGGGTGAGCAGGCAGTGGGTGGGGCCGGGGAGCCAGCAGGATTGTGACTGTGTGTGCAGGAGATATACACACCAGATCGTTCACCAATCCAAAGGTTTCTGCATGTAACATTCAGTGCCGTGGATTGCGTTCTTCACATTGCACAGTCATCATCACTACCCTTTCCCAAACTGCTCCACCACTAGAGGTTTTGGATCTTGCTCTAAGTGGAAGGTCTTCAGTCATGGGGTGATGAAACATGGTTGATGCTTTGAAGGATCATGGCTGGTTGGGAGGGGACCAGATTGGAGCAGGCATGGGGTGGCCACAGGGGCCTTTTGGATTTCTAGTGTGTGCATGTGAAAGTGTGAATGTGCAGTCCAGGCCATAGGAGGTGGCAGCAGGATGACCAGCTCCTCCCAGTCACTTGAATGCCCCCAGCCTCTGCACTGAAAGTCCTGAGTAATGCCTTGGGTGTAGTGCTGGTCCAGGGCTCTCTTACACTGCCCTCTAGGACCTCCAGCCCCAGGAGGAAGGGGGCTGTGGCCTAGGGGAACTTGGGCCTCCAGCTGGGGCATCAGACACCTGGGCTGCTGTCCCACCTTCAGAGGTCCCCTTTTCAGGAAGACAGAGACACCCAGGGCTCTGCATTTACATATGTGTCGGGGGTCGGGGTGTCTAGCTCCTGCTCTTGCCCTTGGCTTCTGCAGGCCTGATGGGCATGTTGACAGCCTTCTGTTATCCAAACTCAAACGTGGGGTGCCCGAGTTGTAACAGCCCACTGCGCACAAAGTGGGGGCCCCACACCATGACTGGAGTCCTCCTAACCTAGCTTGCATGCACCCCACAGCCAGTCCCTCCCTGTTTAAAGTCATGATTGGGGAGGTACAGTCAGTGCACTTGACTGGGAGTCTTGGCATTTCTGGCATAATAGAGATGCTGGGAGGGGTCCCACCCTGGGAAGACCCCCTTGGGCACCTTCTAAGGACTTAGAGTGAATTTCCATCTTGTAAACAGTCAAACCCTGTCCTTGGAGAGAGCAGTTCCCCGGCATTTCTCTGGAGCAGATCATGATGTTCTGCCAGAGGCTCAGAGGCTGTATGTGCATGGAGGGGTGTGTGAGGAGAGGTCCCACCCTGGAGGACCCTGTTGGAGGCATCTTCTAGGGATTTAGAGGGAGCTTCCATCTTGTAAACAGTCAAACCCTGTCCTTGGAGAGAGCAGCTCCCCGGCATCTCTCTGGGGCAGATCATGATGTTCTGCCAGAGGCCCAGAGGCCGTGTGTGCACGGAGGCGTGTGTGAGGAGGAGGCCACTTCTTGTCCATACCCACTGCTCCAGCACCGACTTACATGGGATCTTTGCATAGAGACCCTCGTTTTCTTGTTTCCTGATGAAAGAAGAAATAATATTTCTAAAGTGTATGTGAAAGTGTGTGCCAGACTGCTGAATATAGCTACTACCAGTGTGACTGTATTTTCTGGCCTCTCTATTCCTAGTCGAGGGCTGTGTTGCCTTGTTCAGCATTTCTGCTCCAGTAAATGGGAATTTAGCAATTAAGGATTTCTTTTATTCTGCTCATTCATTGCTTGCCCATGAATTCTGTGATTGCAGCTAATTAGATTTCCATCTTTGTTTCCAAGCTCACTTCAGACAGCTAATTTATTAGCGTATTTTAATCAGAAACAGCTTATTTTAAAGCAGAAAAATATTCTCTTCACTCTGTTGTTTGAAAGTATGTTTTTAAACTGAGTTCCTTATCCCTGAACATGCATTTTTCTCTTTGTGAACCAGGCCAATTTGTAAGGAAGCCCCAAGGTCAGGGTCTGTCTCTTTGAAGAATAGGGAGCAGTTGGGTTTGGCATGTCTTTCCCTTCCAAGCTCGACAGCCTGGCCTCTGAGAGATGAGGTTCACAGGCAGGGGCAGCTGCATCTGGAGAGGCTTCTTGTAACTGGTAGTAAGTTGAGGACAAAGAGCTTTAGGGAGGATGGGGAGGGCTGTAGATTTGATAGGTGGGTCACACTCCTGCCATCCCCTCCAGAGCCTGCTTGTCAGGGGTGCGTGCATCCCACACCAAATCCTCAGCTATCAATAATACATCATTGCAGCTCCCATCCCCACATCAGCACAGGGAGACAGGAGAGCATGATAGGATGTGAGGCACAGGATGAGAGGCAAGGTAAGGTGAGGGTGTGGTAATGTGAGGGGTGTGGAAAGGTGAGGGGTGTGGAAAGTTAAGGGATGTGGTAAGGTAAGGGTGTGACAAGGGGAGGAGTGTGGTAAGGTGTGGGGTGGGGAAAGGCGAAGGGTGTGGTAAGGTGTGAGGGATGTGATATGGTGAGGGCATGGTAAGGTGAGGGCACATAGAATTAAGCCATGGAGGAAGGAGGCACATGGCAGATATGTGCTCAGTCCTCTTGGACCCACCCCAGTCCAGCTGCTCCTGGGCTGTAGATATATCCAAAGCCAGGAGAAAGGAGGTGCTCTAATGCCCAGACTTCTACTTTCCACACCCACTCAGCCAGTTTACAGCATACTGACTAGTGTGGCACCTCAGTAAATTAGACAAGGCCTCCCCAAGGCCAACTAGGAGCCTGCAGGACCACCAGGAGGGATGGTCCTGCCAGGCAGCCTAGAGGGGCTTCCTGGGCACAGGGCCTGCCAGGAAAGTGGCTTCAGCTGGCACCCAGTGGGTCTGAGCAGACTCTGCCAAGGTGGCAGGTGAGAGTCCTGCTGTCATCAGCCATTGTTCTGGCCCTGGGCCAGCCTGGTGGATTCACTGTTCTTCTGGTCTCAAGTCCCAGATGCTGTAAGGCTACCCTAAGGACCTTTTATATTTGTGCCTGTTTCCATGGTAACTCTGTACCCTACCTTCGGTGATTGTGCTCTGTTCTCCTTGTAGATGGAGGAGATAAAATTTAAAGACAGAGCAGTCTTCGTGCTGGAGAGAGAGTTAGGGGTGCAAGCCGGGCATGCTCAGAAACTGCAGCGGCAGAAAGAGGCTCTAGATGAGCAGCTGTCCCAGGCCAGAGAGGCCGACCGGCACCTGGGCAGCCCCAGACGAGACCTTCCTTATGCAAGCGGTGCAGGAGATGCCTCAGACCACTCAGGAAGCCCTGTAAGCACCGCCCCACTCTCTCTGCCACCAGAGAGCACAGGCAGTTCCCAGGAGCCCGGGGTCAGGTTGAGCAAGCCCCTCCTGCCTGTCTGCAGCCAACTGGCTGGGCCCTTCAACTCTTCTGGCTAAAGGGCTAATAGAATCCCATTTTCTCCCTTACTCATTAGCATAGTGTGAGCCTGGGCCTCCACGTGACCCCCTTCCAGTGGCCCTGGGACTGTGCCTCCTACTGGGCACCTGAGCCAGCTGCTAGCAGCCCGTGAGGCTTGCCAGTGCTGCCAGGAGAGGAGGCTTTCTGAGCACCTGCTGCTTCCATCCCATGCACCCAGAAGGCATTTCTGGCTTTCATCATGTGCAGTGGCTCCTGGCCCGTATGTCCTGTCACCCTCCCACTAGCTTTCTGTGTGACCATGCCACTGTTTTACTCCTTCTGGGGTGGGCAATGACACCAGCGACCCCCTCCCCCCAGTGCATGTGGCTGTGACATCATCCATCTTCTCATTGCTGGTCCTCATTCAGGCTCCTTCTGCAGTGGTTCTGGAATATTCTGGGAGAAAATCTAAATTTTGTGGGCCCTCAGTGTGGGTCCTTGGTTCCTTGGTTCTGAGCCTCTCCTGCACCCATTGAATGAGGGACTAGAGCCGTGTCCAGTCCCTCAGATCTATGTCTGTCTGCCAGTGCATGAGGCTGTGTCTGGGCAAGGCCAGCCCAAGGACATGATGAGTCAGGGGTAGAACATGATATTCTGTAATCTTATGGAGCTTCCATGGGCTTAAATGCACTGCCCCATCTCCTGCTCTGGTACCTGGTTGACCACTGTGGTAACCCCAGAGGGACTCTGAAATTGGACAAATGTGTTTGCACTGGTTCCTGCGTGAACTGCCATTGATTCCCAAAGTGACATTTTAGAAGTCCACTTGAGGTCACACTTTTGGGGAAGCAGCTTCTGAGTGTCTGTATGACACTATCTCTTCCTATGCTCATATTAACACCTGAGAGTAATTCTGCTGGAACACAGGGCAGGCCCTTCCTGAACCGCCAAAGACACAGAATCAGTTCTAGAGCTTTCTCGGTGCCATGGTCACTGGGGAGTCTGCATTGCACATACCTGCCTTCCACATCCGCATCCTTCTAGACATTTCCACTCCTCTCAGCTTCTGTCCCATCACAGTTTGCTGCTTGTGACCGTTGTGCTGGGTGTGGGGTGCGGGAGTGTGAGGCAGGGGCTCCTGTCCACATGTGCTGGGCAGTGTGTTTGTGGACAGGTATTTGCAGTTGATTGTTGTTTCAGGAACAGCAGTTGGATGAAAAGGATGCCCGTCGCTTCCAATTGAAAATTGCTGAGCTGAGTGCCATCATCCGGAAGCTGGAAGACCGCAATGCCCTGCTGTCGGAGGAGAGGAATGAGCTGGTGAGCACAGGGGCTGGGGCTCCTGTGGAAGGGAAGCCACAGAGGGGCTGGGGGGGGTCTCCCTGTGGAGGAACAAGTGACGGAGTGAGTGACAGGGCGGGGCTCCTGTGGAAGGGTAACTGCACGGAGGCTGGTGGGTCTCCCTATGGAAGACCTAGATGGTGAGTGACAGGGGTGGGGGCTCATGTAGAGGGGCGGCCACACAGGGGTGGTAGGTCTCCCCATGGAGGAACAAGTGATGGGGTGAGTGATGGAGGTGGGAACTCCTTTGGAGGAGGGCTAGGGGGTCCTCCTACCCTCCCCTTACTCCTACAGAACTCTTGTAGCTACAAAGGCCCTGCAGTGCCTCAGTGTCAGAAAGCCCCTAGATGTTGGTTGCCCTACAGCAGGGGGGGAGGGCTAGTGGAAAGTGGTGATCTGGGCAGGCAAGGGTTGGGGTGTGCCTGCTGTCAGCTGAGCACTGTTCCCCATACTGGAGACTGGTCAGAGGGTGGGGGATGGCCAGTGCCAGAGCCCTAGGGACAGGTTTGAGGACTGAAGCATTGGCCTTCTCGGGTAGCCCCTCTCTCAGTGGCTGTGGGCCGTGAGGTGTTGGGCTGAGGGGTGTCTGGGGACTGGGAAGGGCTTTGGCCTGTGACCACCCCCACACTTTGTCCAGATGATTGGCAGGGGGGCAGTCTCTAAAATTCAAAAGTACAGAGTGAAAAGATTAATGGGTGCCAGGGTAGAGGGAGGGATGAATAAGTGGAGCCCAGGCATTTTTAGTGAAGCTATTCTGTATGACATGTGGTGGGCACATAGGGCTGTACAACACAGACGTGATCCGTCTGATGATCTGAGAGCTCGAGTTATAGCAGTGTATGAGCACTGCCTTGTCTGCCAGAACAGACGGACCACAAGAAAGCCTGAGTTATGACAGTGTATCGTACTGCTTCGTTACTGTAACAGATGGGTCACAGGAAGGGCCTGAGTTATGACAGTGTATCATACTGCCTCATCCACCGTAACAGATGGACCACAGGAACGCCTGAGTTATAACAGCGTATGAGCACTGCCTCATCCACCATAACAGATGGACCACAGGAAGGCCTGAGTTATAACAGCGTATGAGCACTGCCTCATCCACCATAACAGATGGACCACAGGAAGGCCTGAGTTATAACAGCGTATGAGCACTGCCTTGTCACTGTAACAGATGGACCACAGGAAGGCTGGAGTTCTAACAGTGTATGAGCACTGCCTCATCCACTATAACAGATGGGCCATAGGAAGGCCCGAGGTATAACAGTGTATCATATGGCCTCATCCACTGTTAACAGATGGACCACAGGAAGGGCCTGAGTTATAACAGTGTGTGAGCACTGCCTTGTCACTATAACAGATGGACCACAGGAAGGCTGGAGTTATAACAGCGTATGAGCATTGCCTTGTCACTGTAACCGATGGACCACAGGAAGGCCCGAGTTATAACAGTGTATGAGCACTGCCTTGTCACTATAATAGATGGACCACAGGAAGGCCTGAGTTATAACAGTGTGTGAGCACTGCCTTGTCACTGTAACAGATGGACCACAGGAAGGCTCGAGTTATAGTAATGTATGAGCACTGCCTCATCCACTGTAGCAGAGAGACCACAGGAAGGCTCAAGTCATAACAATGTATCATACTGCCTTATCTATTATAACAGATGGCTCACAGGAAAACACAAGTTATAGCAATGTATTGATACTGCCTCATCCAATGTAACAGATGGACCACAGGAAGGCTTGTGTTAGTGAAAGAAGAAACAGCTAGTAGACAAGAGGGTCCTTGGGCATTCTACTTTCTGATTCAGAAAAAGTCTATTTTAAAAAGTTAGCTGAGGCTCCTCTGGGCTTAGAGTGGCTCAGCTTTGAAAAAGTGCCATACTCAACAAGGCCCCTTTTATCATCAAACTACATTCTTGAAACAGGTGCATTTTATGAAATGCAAATTATACCTCAAGTGAGAAGAGTGCTGTTGCATTATGGAGATTTCAGTGAATGTCAGAAAACAAAAAGTGTATGAATTGTTGAATAAACCACCAATTTGCTCTATGAACTTTCATGCAGTCACAATAAAAAGAAAAGCGCTTGGCTCAAAGTTTAGTAATAAGTCATGGGCATTATCTGGATACATTCAAGCAAAAAACACTGTTGTGTGAACTCTACACATCAGGGGCCAGAAAACTTTTCTGTAAAGGACTAAACACTAAATATTTGCAGGACACAGGGTTTCTGAAGCAACTGTCCAGCTCTGTGGTGCAGTATGAAAGCAGCCATAGGCAGTATAGATCAAAGTGTCTGTGTCCTAATAAAACTTTATTCACAACAATGGGTGGAGGGACAAATTTGTCTGTCAGGCTTTGGTTGGCTGAGTCCTGTTCTGTGTTGTTGGGGCAAAAGTGTCCTCCGTTCTGCATGTCAGCTGAGATGTGGGCAATGGGATACCCACAGTGTCCTGGGAAGCCACATGGGTGGGCCTCAGCAGTAAGTCTCCTGCAGCTCTTATTCCAAAACGGAGCTCTGAGCTCAGAATGCATCCCTGACTTGATCCTCATCTGTGCTGTGACACAGAGCCTGTCATCTGGCCCCACTGTGCCAGGTGTTGGGTGGGCCAAGGAGCAGCAACTAGCCTGGCATCACACAACCACGTGAACAGAACTCTCCAGAGAGCTGGTCAGTAACCCTGTCATGATGGCCTGAGTTTGTACTGGTCAACATGCAGACTTGGCATAGACAACCGTGTTGTACAACTGATTCTGTCTTTTAGTTAAAGCGTCTAAGAGAGGCTGAGAGCCAGTACAAGCCACTGCTGGACAAAAACAAACGCCTCAGCAGGAAAAACGAAGACCTGTCACACACCTTACGTCGGATAGAAAACAAGTTAAAATTTGTCACCCAGGAGAACATAGAAATGGTAAGGGGCCTGGTGCCAACACTCTCACCCCTTCTTACACTCCAGGTATGATAGCAACATGCAGTCCCTAGGCCAGGCTTTATGGCTTGGCCTCTAGGAAGGAGCTGGCGCCAGCCTGCTTGTTAGAAGAGGATAGCTTAGCTAAGGCTCCTGGTCATCTAAGGAGGGTACAATAGGTGGCAGCTACAAGCAGAGATGAGCTAGGAGGCCTGGACAGTGATTGCCCAACTCTGAAAATCTCAGCCAGCAGTCGTCCAAGGTGCCCTGCAATGCTGGCTGGGGTGTAGGCACAAGCACAGGATGGGGCCGTCCCTGCCCTCTCAAGTGGTGTGCCCTGTTGTGGCAAGTGGGGTTGAGAATCTCGATTGTTCCTTCTGGCCAAAGAGTCATCAGCATGGTGTGGGGCCCTGGAGCCAGGGTATACTAACCCCTCCCTGTAGAAGTCCCCTTCTTTTCACACTCTGTAACAGTCTGGCAGAGTGTGGCATGCACAGACAGTACCTGTAGCTACATCCTCAGGGGCACAGCACTGTCTTTTCTGGCCACACCTGTTGACTGGCTGCTTCCTATGACATGCCTGGCACAGGGCCACTCTCTGAGCCCACTCCCCTTGCTGCAGGGATAGCCAAGACAAGGTGTCATTACCATGGGCTTGGCAGGGCAGTGGGCTGCTCCAGGCCTGAGCAGAGAAGCCTCTTGGCCTTCAGCCTACAGGTGGGCAGCTAGCCAGATGCACATTGAGCAAGAAACCCTCCAGTCAGCCTGCCACCTGTAAGATGACCTGGTTCACTTTTCAGAGACAGAGAGCTGGGATTATCAGGAGACCAAGTTCCCTAAATGACCTTGACCAAAGTCAAGATGAAAGAGAAGTGGACTTCTTGAAGATTCAGATTCTTGAGCAGCAGAACCTCATAGACGAGCTTTCCAAGGTAACCAGACCCCTTTCCTTACCTACCCTGCTCCCCACTGCCCTGCCAAGCTTGCCCCTATAGCCCCTTGCCCTCTGGTCTGGTTCGTGGGTGCCCAGGCATGGATGAGAGAGGGAGGATAGTGAGGAACTTCAAGGGGTCATCTTGGACAGGCTGTGTATACTCACTACCATCACTGGTATTCTCTAGTGGCCTTCTACCTAAACCCTCTGCTCTAGGAACTATGAAACTTGCCCCTTCCTTATCACTTAGGGCTCAAGATCAGTAGTACTGCTTGTTTTGCTCTCCTGTGGCTGCCTTAAGAACCACATATGGGGAGGGTTATACAAACAGAAATCTGGGTGTTGGCAGAGCCACACTCTCTCTGGGGACTTAGGTGTTGGCAGGCCACACTCCCTCTGGGGCCCTGGGCAGGGTCCTCCCTTTGCTTCTTCTGGCTGCTGCCAGTGCACCACTCTTCGTATGGGCCTTCTCCCTCTGCCTCTCCTCTCCGTGTTCCTTACAAGGACTTGTCTTTGGATGTGCAGTCTGTCAGAACAGTCCAGAGGACTTGTCTTTGGACCCAGGAGAGCCCAGAGGACTTGTTGTTGGACCTATGGGCCATCAGGACAGGCCAGAGGAGTTGCTGTTGGATGTACAGTCCACCAGGACAGCCCAGAGGACTTGTCATTGGGCATACAGTCTGCCAGGATAGTCCAGAATAATCTTGTCTCAAGATCCTTCACTTACTTCCGTCTGCAAAGATCTTTTCCCCACATAATAATGTCATACGTGTAGTTTGTAGGGCCTTGGGCATGGCCATGTCTTTTTTGGGGCCACCATTCAGCTCTGTACACTGCCTTACCCCTGTACCCTCAGCCCGCAGCACAGAGTGACCAGTGGTCTTTGGTTAAATGACCAAATTGATCAAATGATCCTAATTTGAGTGTCTGGTCCACTTCCCATTGGAACCCTGAGTGACACTTCGGCAGATCGAATCTCCCAGGATAGGGTTGCCTCAGTATTCTGTACCTCTGTACATGCAGCAAGGCTGCAGAAAGGACAGCATGGTCCCTTCCTACTGGAGTGTCACCCATGGTCCTGGTAAGTCAGCATTCAGAACCACCAGGAGAGGAGGGACAGATGCCTTGTCCTCAGGGGCCCTGTAACAGAGCCTCACCCACGCAGCTTTCCCTGATGAAATCCAAGAGCTGACGTCTTGTCCAACTGCATAGTGATTGTCAGTCTTGGGAATAACAAAGAGTGACTCAATGACCCTGAGACCAGAACTCGATGGTGCTACCACTGCTGACTGCTCTGAAAGGGATCATAATAGGAGGGCCCAGATGGGGGCGGAGGATGGAAATGTGGAACTAAAACTCATAAACAACAAAAGACCAGGTTACTGGTCTGATAGACACTGGTGGAACCCCCAGCCTGTGGCCCTTAGACACCCTTCAAGCCTGGGACTGAACTCACCCCCATGGCTGAACTTTCAGCCAAAGGATAGACATGCCTATAAGGTGAACAATAACCCCAAGGTGGTATGCACTCCTTAGAACAATCAACTGTATGAGATCAGAAAGGCAGCATTTGCCCAGGGATAAAGCTCAGAAGGCAGGAAAGGATAGGAAAGAAGAATGAAGGGAAGTGGTAAACAGAGGCAGGAAGTGGGAAGAGTGCTGTGACATGGAGACTGCAATCAATTTGCAAAACAAAATGTGTATGAATGGTTGAATGGAAAACCAATTTACTCTGTCAACTTTCACCCAAGTCACAATAGAAAGTTTCGAAAGAAGAAGAAGAAGGATTTATGAGAACAATAGGACAAGGAAGGAACCTTGGTCAATTACATATGCATGTTATTTTCATATCTGAGACCTTGCTCTCTGCTATCCAGCGAGTGGTAGCTGAGCCACCCAGAGCAGGAGCGTGAGTCTCCGCCAGCTCTGGGGGGCCAGTCGAGTGGCGGAAGGCCTATCAGCGCAGAGTGGGACACCTGTCTCGGGACAGTGCCAGCCTGGAGGAGGGTATATAGTTACAAAGTACATATGGTGGGATGCCTGGTCTAGGGATGTGCAGTCACTGGAACTGGAATCTGCATTACAAGTGCTATAACATAGTCTTTTCTTTTTCTAGACCCTGGAAACTGCCGGCTATGTGAAGAGTGTGTTAGTAAGTACCCATCATTATCCTATTTGAAGAGTGTGTTAGTAAGTACCCATTGTTATCCTATATGAAGAACGTGTTAATAAGTACCCATCGTTATCCTATGTGAAGAACGTGTTAGTAAGTACCCATCGTTATCCTGTGTGAACAGAGTGTTTAGTAAGTACCCATCATTATCCTGTGTGAAGAGTGTGTTAATAAGTACCCATCATTATGCTATGTGAAGAGAGTGGTAGTTAGTAAGTACCCATCATTATCCTGTGTGAAGAGTGTGCTGTAAGTACCCAATATTATCCTATGTGAAGAGCATGTTAGTAAGTACCCATCATTATCCTGTGTGAAGAGTGTGTTAGTAAGTACCCATCATTATCCTGTGTGAAGAGTGTGTTAGTAAGTACCCATCATTATCCTATGTGAAGAGAGTGGTAGTTAGTAAGTACCCATCATTATCCTGTGTGAAGAGTGTGTTGTAAGTACCCTATATTATCCTATGTGAAAAGCATGTTAGTAAGTACCCATCATTAGCCTGTGTGAAGAGTGTGTTAGTAAGTACCCATCATTATCCTGTGTGAAGAGGGTGTTAGTAAGTACCCATCATTATCCTATGTGAAGAGTGTGTTAGTAAGTACCCATCGTTATCCTGTATGAAGAGGATGTTAATAAGTAATAGTAGCATAGTGGCTAGGGCACTTGACAGCTAACCAGAAGGCTGATGGTTCAAACCCACCAGCCACTCCTCAGAAAGAAGATGGGGCAATCTACTTCCATAGTGATACTGCCTCAGAAACCCAAGGAGGGGTCGTTATGAGTTGGGTCCGACTTGATTGCACATAACAACAACAAATGTGAAGAGTGTGTTAGTAAGTACCCATTGTTATCCTATGTGAAGAGCATGCTAGTAAGTACCCATGGTTATCCTATGTGAAGAGCATGTTAGTAATCGTTATCCTATGTGAAGAGGGTGTTAGTAAGTACCCATCATTATCTTATGTGAAGAGGGTGTTAGTAAGTATTCATCATTGTTATCCTATGTGAAGAGCATGCTAGTAAGTAAATGTTATCCTATGTGAAGAGTGTGTTAGTAAGCACCCATCATTATCTTATGTGAAGAGCGTGTTAGTAAGTATTCATTATCCTATGTTTAGAGCATGTTAGTAAGTAAAAATTATCCTATGTAAAGAGCATGTTAGTAAGTAATCATTATCCTATTGAAGAGCATGTTAGTAAGTACCCATCATCGTTATCCTATGTGAAGAGCATGCTAGTAAGTAAATGTTATCCTTTGTGAAGAGCGTGTTAGTAAGTACCCGTGGTTACACTATGTGAAGAGTGTGTTAGTAATCATTATGCTATGTGAAAAGAGTGTTAGTAAGTAACCATCATCATTATCCTATGTAAAGAGCATGTTAGTAAGTAAACGTTATCCTATGTGAAGAGCGTGTTAGTAAATACCCATCGTTATCTAATGTGAAGAGAGTGTTATTAAGTACCCATCGTTATCCTGTGTGAAGAGTGTGTTAGTAAGTAATCATTATCATATGTGAAGAGTGCATTAGTAAGTATCTATTTTTATCCAATGTGAAGAGCATGTTAGTAAGTAATCGTTATCTGTGTGAAGAGGGTGTTAGTAAGTACCCATTGTTATCCTATGTGAAGAGGGTATTAGCGAGTACCCATCATTATCCTATGTGAAGAGCGTGTTAGTAAGTACCCATGGTTATCCTATGTGAAAAGCATGTTAGTAATCATTATCCTATGTGAAAAGGGTGTTAGTAAGCATTCATCGTTGTCCTTTGTGAAGAACGTGTTAGTAAGTACCCATCATTATCCTGTGTGAACAGCATGTTAGTTAGTACCCATCATTATCCTGTGTGAAGAGCATGTTAGTAATCATTGCCTTATGGAAGTGTGTGTTAGGAAGTACTTCTTATCTTATGTGAAGAGTGTGTTAGTAAATGTCCATCATTAGCTTGTATGGAGAAATGTTTTAAGAAGTAATCGTTATCTTATGTAAAGAGGTGTTTTAAGAAGTAATCGTTATCTTACGTAAAGAGCACATTAGTAAGTACCAGTGGTTAGACTCTCTGCCCGTACCACATGGCTTTCCAGGATGAGTTCCTGTATGGACAGTCCAGGCCACACCCACACTGGTGTATTGTGTAACCCTGGTGCCACCTATTGCAAGGCTGCAGTGGGGATGGGGATACCTCTGTGAAGTCTGACAGGTGCCTGGGGACCTGTAAATGTCCAAGCCACCTGTGGGTACCCTGTAGGGTGCCTAATGCTGGCTGTCCTTCAAGGCCGGCTGTCAAGGGCTTCCTCCCTGGGACCTCACCCCCTTCCTGGGGTTTCTCCCCTTCTTACCTGTGGCCGTATACTCACTGCCCCAGAGGGGGAAGCCCTTCCAAGGAGTGGGTAGAATGGAGCCTGACTCCATGTGTGGAGGCCTTTTCTGTGCCCACTGCTCAGAGGGGCTGGTCATCAGTCCTCCTGGAACTTTCCTTTTCTATGCCTAGGCCCTCAGACCACCTGCCCTCCTGAGGTCCCCAGGTCCAGGCTGTGCAGAGGCTGGTATGTGGCTCAGAGCCCACCCACCAGGGGGACTCACTTCCCAGCTCAGCACAAACAGTAAACTGCCCAGACTCCAAAACAGGTGGCCAGAGCCACGGCCTTCCACTTCCAGGTGTTCATGACAACATGAACCACAGGCCAGTTCAGATGATGCTGCAGAAGTAGTGACTTGTGTACCCTGAACTGCTGGAGTGGTTCAAATACTTAAAGAATCTCTTGGTTTTTTCAGGAGCGTGATAAGCTTCTAAGATACCGGAAACAAAGAAAGAAAATGGCCAAGCTCCCCAAGGTAAAGGAAAAAGGCCTCAAAGGCATGTGCTACTCTTAAACAGGAGACTCTTCTTATGTAGCAGAAAGGAAACACTGTTACTGTTTTTAGAGCTTCCTGGGTGAATAGAAATTCCGGAAGCAATGCTACTATTTCTAGAGCCTCCTCTGTGAGTGGAAAGGAAGCACTGTTAACTGTTTCTAGAGTTTCCTGTGTGGGCAGAAAGGAAGCACTATTACAGTTTATAGAGCCTTCTGTGTGGGTGGAAAGGAAGCGATATTACTGTTTCTAGAGCCTCCTGTGTGGGCGGAAAGGAAGCAATGCTACTATTTCTAGAGCCTCCTGTGTGGGTGAAAAGGAAGCAATGTTACTGTTTCTAAAAGCTGTTCCTGTGAAATGGCTCAACAGTGGGACCAAAGTTTAAATTAACCACATCTAAACCTACCATAGAAGCTCTGGTGGCATAGTACCTAAGGCATTTATTTGACTGCTAACTAGAAGGCTGGCGGTTCAAACCCACCAGCCACTCATCAGAAGGAAGATTGGGCAATCTACTTCCATAGTGATACCGCCTTGGAAACCCAAGGACGGGACACTATGAATCGGATCTGACTTGATGGCAGTGAGTTTGGTTTGGTTTTTGGAAGCCTACTACTTTGAAATTCGCAAGAATGGTGTGAACATGTGATGAAGACATTAGGGCTTACCTGGGTACTGTCCTGCCCAGGCTGTGAACTCCTGCATCTGTGTGGAATGCAGGGTGCTAAGGACAGTGGGTTGTAGGCCAGTATGTGGCTGTTCACGGGGAGATGTCCTTGACCCATCCTGGCATGGTGCAGGACTGGGCAGGGTTTTGTTCCATGCACATGGGGTTGCCATGAACCAGGGGGCTTGCTCTCACCGCAGCTAATGGTACCAATGATAAGTACTTGTTTTTCTGGCCTTAATAAAGGAGGTGGGGGTGGGCCCTCCATGAGCCCTGGGGTCACAGAGAGCAGCGATGGTTAAAGGAACCCCTACCTCAAAGACCAGACCTGCGTGTTGACTCAGCTGGGAGTGGTGACTCTGAGGTTGTCACTGGGATAAGTGACTGGGTTTGCCATCAAGGCCATTTGGCTTTGAATGGTTCTTTGTGAAAAGGCTGCCAGGTGCTGAGAGGCCCTGGAAGGTAAGGGCCTCTCTGGTTAGGTGCCTGGAGATCACCGAAACTGAGGGGAGAGGATGGATGGGGGTCTCTAAACAAAGGGGACCACGGAGGCCATCCTGACCAGTCCTCTGCAGCAAGCCGCTTTCCAAAGCACAAGAGGTGGCAGCTCCTTTAACCATTGCTGCTCTCTGGGACCCCAGGGCTCACACAGAACTCAGGTTTGTCAAAGGCCACAGTGGGGCAGGGCCACCTCAGTCCCTGCTGGTCCACATGTGGAAGAGAGGCCAGCAGCAGCAGTTTGTGAAACCATGGGGTGGGGCTGAGGTCTCCAGGCCGATGGCCAATCCACAGAGTTCTGCCAAAGAAGGAGGGACCCTGGAATGTGATTGAGAGCAGAGGGCAGGATGAGAGGGGGCTTTCGGATTTTGTAACATCCAGAATCCTCATCCGTGGAACCCCAGGCCATCCCCACTTGGGCCTTTGCCATCCGTCCAGGACAACCAAGATGGCCACCCTCAGCCAGGCCACCATCTTGCCTAAAGGAAGGCAGTGTGGGTAGTAGAGACAGGACCGAGTAGGGCGTGGGGCTATGGGGGCGGACGGCATCAGAGCCAGGCCCTGGGGCTGGGGCTACACTAACCTTGCCTTCTGGTCAAAGCCGGTCGTGGTGGAGACCTTCTTTGGATATGATGAAGAAGCTTCCTTGGAGTCGGATGGATCCTCCATCTCGTATCAAACAGACAGAACCGACCAGACGCCATGCACCCCGGATGGTGACTTGGAAGAGGTAATGTTAGTGCCCCTCGGCGGCTCCTGGGTGCTTTCCTCATGGGCTGGCCGTGCAGTCAGGGCTCGAGTGGCCGTGGCAAGCAGATGCACATCCTGCCTAAGTCCTCAGTTCTCCCAGAAAGCAGAAGTCTGCCCTCACTAACCAACAGGCCATGGTTTGAGCCACGGCAAGATGAGAGCCACAGTCATGTCACTCGGTGTTGTCCCTGAGAGGGGACATAATGCTCACACCTGTCCTGCCTCTTCTAATAACATCCAAGCTGGGGTGGTGGGTGGGTCATCTGCCAGGGTCTCTAGGACAGGAGGCCTTGTGACTCAGGGCTTGTCCCCTGGGGAAACAGAACCAACAGGAGGAACCTGGGGCAGCTGGAGCTCCACGGGGTGTTGCGTTTTTCCAGGACTCATAAGTTTTCCGTCCTTGACAGGGTATAAAGCCTCACCACTTTCTACCACTTTCATTAAAAAAAAAAACAAAAAACTCACTGCCGTCAAGTCGGTTCCGACTCACAGTGACCCCTCCTTCTGAGGGGGATCCTTCTGAGGCAGTGTCCTTATGATAGTAGATTGCCCAGTCTTCCTTCCAAGGAGTGGCTGGTGGGTTTGAAGCACTAGCCTTCTGGTTAGCACTCAGATGCCTTAGGTACTATGCCACCAGCCATTCTTATTAGTAGAAAATACTTGAGTTTTCCTTCTTTGACAAGTTTCAGCCTTACACAGATTCTGACTTTAGCAGGCTTTACTGTAGATAGATAGGCAGGCAGGCAGGCAGACAGACAGACAGACAGATTGATTGACTTATCATAGATGTAAACCCACTCCCAATGAGTCGATTCCGACTCATAGAGACCCCATTGGGTTTCCAAGGCTATCAGTCTTTACAGAAATAGATTGTCTCATCTTCCTCCCATGGAGCAGCTGGTGGGTTTGAACTGCTGACCTTCTGGTTAGCAGCCAATGTCTTACCCACTTTGCCACTGGAGCTCATATACATATGTATATATACATGTTGTTGTTATGTGCCATCGAGTTGGACCCGACTCATAGCGACCCCTCCTTGGGTTTCCAAGGTAGTATCACTATGGAAGTAGATTGCCCAACCTTCCTTCCGAGGAGTGGCTGGTGGGTTTGAACCGCCAGCATTTTGGTCAGCAGTCAAGTGCCTTAGGCACTACTCTGCCAGAGCTCCTATATATACACATAGACGTGTGTATATGTGTGTGGAGAGAGTTATTTAAGCACTTGGCTCATGCAGTTGGCAAAAGCTCTCGCTTCACAGGGCGGGCAGTGCTCAGTAGGACGGGTGGTGCTCCACATTTGGGGCAGCGCTCAGTAGGGTGGATTGTACTCTGCAGGGGCGGGCAGCAGACAGAAACTCCAACAGGATCTGAGGCAGAATCCTCTCACGTTAGTTCTTACAGCCTCTTTAGCTCACTGGATCAGGCTTATTCACATTACCAAGGGTCCTGATGGTAGGTGCTAACCACAGCTACAGAGCACCCTCATGACAACATCTAGATGAGCACTGGGCAAAGAACTAGGCCCAGCGCCTGGCTGCATTGACACATAAAATTAACCTCACCAGCCCAAGTGGCCCCACCCCCAGTGTCCCTTTTTGTGGAGGGGGCAGAGAGCTCACCCTGCCCTACTAAAGGGCTGTCCCTGGAGGATTTGGAACCACCAGTGGGGAGGTCAGTGCTGGGGCTCGTGCCCACTGCTGGAACATGCATCAGGGCAGGGACACCAGGACACAGTCCAGTCTCCCACTCCAGCCCGTCTTCCAGGGTGACAGTCGCCTTCAAAGTCACGCACCCCATGACACCTAGGACAGGAGCCTGCCTGAGGTCTTCACTGTGTGAGGCTGTAGATGAGGCCTCCACTGGCAAGTCCTGGTGGCTGAGTGCTGGCCAGGGATCCCCTTAGAGGTCTCGTGGACTAGGCAGGGGTGAGCTGGGCTGGGCCACATGGCACTGCCCTCCCATGGCCAGACCTTTGGCTTCTCTTCTGGGCAGCAATAGCAAGCCCCTGGGGGTCCAGGGAGCCTAGACCCTGCTGCCACCAGCCTTCTCCTTGAGCAGAGTCAGTGACATTTCAACTAGGACAAAAAGTCCTCTGCAGGAAGTGAATGGCGATGCCCCCACAGCAGATGCTGTGAGCAGGTCCTCAGCCCAGCTCTTGGCCCACGCAGCCTCCATGGACCTGTGGGATCCCGAAGTAATGGCATGGGGCGGGGTGGGGGGAGGCGCCGCGCGGCAGTGGAGGGGGCCTGGTGGCCTGGTTGGGATCAGGCAGGCCTCCATGGGGAGCCAGCTCAGCTCAAAGCCTTTCCCCTAGGGCTCAGCACTCACCCCTGCCTCTAAATGGGGCTGGGGTCGCAGGTCACCATCCCCCTCACCCACTTTGAGAGCCAACTGGAGGGAGGGTCTCTGGAAAGACCTGTGGATTTCATTAGGAGGAAAAGCGGGCAAGGGGTATCGTTGCTGTTGGAGGTGCTGTGGCCACCCGTGTGCTGCCCAGCCCTGACACTGCACCTCTTCTCTGCACCCAGGGCATGGCCAAGGAGGAGACAGAGCTGCGCTTCCGGCAGCTCACCATGGAGTACCAGGCGCTGCAGCGGGCCTACGCCTTGCTGCAGGAGCAGGTCGGAGGGACCCTGGACGCTGAGCGAGAAGTTAAGGTCTAAATGACTTTCATTCCATGACGTTCAGGCCACAGCCTTTGTGGGGACACGCCTACTCCTGTCCCCATGGGCACTGTCCACCCTCGGGGACACTCATGGGCATAGAAAATCTGTGTTTGCCAGCCAGCCGGAGTCTCCCTGGGCACCAGGAGGGCGAGACAGACTGAAGGCTGGACATGAGCAAAGGACGGTTCCCTGGGGAGTACATCTTCCCAGAAGAGCCATCTCAGTGTGGGGCACAGACTTTAAGACGAATGTGCCTACTTTGCAGATCTCCCTTTGGCCTCGGGGCCAATGACGAAGGTGCAGGGGGCAGAGCAGTTGTGGAAACTGCTCAGACGGCACTCACAGAGCACAGACGAGCTCCACAGGGCGTCCCCGTCGGAGCAGCTTCTGTAGCAGCTCAGACTGGCAGGGAGTCAGGGATGACCAGGTGGGGCCTTCTACACCCCAGGGCCTACCTAGAAAAGACTGGATCAGTCTTCTAAACAGCTGGGCCATCCGGGAGAAAGGACCTTAAGTGGATATGTGCAAGAAGGAACCCAGAGGAGCGGAGGCTCCCTTGCAGAGTGCTAGTGCCCCTGGAGGCACTGTCGGGTGGACCATTCAGAGAGCAAAACAGTACAGGTGCATGTCTGTGTGTCTGTGACTGTGAATATACATGTTGTAAGTGTAGGTATGTGAGTGTGTATGTATATGTGAGTGTGTATGAGTATGTGAGCATATATGTGTATACATGTGTATGTATGTGTATATGAGCATGTATATATGTATGTGTATGACTGTGTAAGCATATGTGTAAAGATATATATGTATATCTGTGAGTGTATGTACACGTAAGTGTGTGAGCATATACATATGTATGTGAGTGTGTGGTCTGTGTATGAGTGCATGTGTGTGTGAACATGTACATATGTATGTGTGTGAGTGTGATGTGTGTGTATGAGCGTGTGCTTATATGTGAGTGTGTGGTCTGGGTGTGAGTGTGCATATGTATGTGTGTATAAGTGTGTACATATGTGTGTGTGGGTGGGGTCTGTGTGTGAATGTGTGTGTGTATATGTGTATGAGTGTGTGTGGTCTGAGTGTGCATATGTGTATGTGTGAGTAGGTATATATGTATGTGTGGTCTGTGTGAGTGTGTACATGTCTGTGGTTGGATGTGAGTGTGCATATTTATGTGTGTATGAGCATGTACGTGTGTGTGTGTGTCCATGTGTGAATGTGTATATGTGTATGAGTGTGTACATATGTGTGTGTGTGGTCTGTGAGTATTCATATGTATATGTGTGTGAGCATGTACATATGTGTATGTGGTCTGTGAGTATGCATATGTATGTGTGTATGAGTGTGTACATATGGATGAGTGTATGTGTGATCTGTGTGCATATGTATGTGTGTATGAGTGTGTACATATGTATGTGTGCACGGTCTGTGTGAGTGTGCATATGTATGTGTGTATGAGTATGTACATATGTATGAGTATGTAGCCTGTGTAAGTGTGCATATGTATATATGAGTGTACATGTGTATGTGTGTGTGTGGTCTGTGTGAGTGTGCATATGTATGTGTGTATGAGTATATGTGTGTGTGTGGTCTGTGCATATGTATGTATGAGTGTGTACATATATATGTTACTATGTGAGTGTGGTCTGTGTATATATATATGTGTGTGTGTGAGTGTGCACATATGTTTGTGAGTATGTGTGTGTGGTCTGTGTGAGTGTGCATATGTATGTGTGCATATGTATGTGAGTGGGGGAGGTCTGTGTGTCTTGGTGTGAGTATGTTATTCCTGGTGACTTGTCATCTTTATCAAGGACACAGACCACCCCGGAGCTCACACAGGAATGTGGTTGCTCTTGGTGGTGTGGAGGCCGGTAAATGAGGATTTTACTCAGGATCTCAGACGAATCACAGCTTTCCCCTAGGATCTGACTGAGACGTCTGCAAATCAGTCTTGCAATGCTTCCTTCCCGTGAGGCATTGCTTCTGGAGGTCATTAATAGTCATCCTCCATCAGATAGCTCTGAGGCAGCTCCCCCCCCAAAATGTCCTGTCCATGAGCATCTGTCCACACTGGTCTTGTAGAGAAAGTTTCATGTCTCTCTCCCATCTTACAGACCCGTGAGCAGCTACTTGCAGAAGTGCAGCGCTCACAGACACGAATTGAGGACCTGGAGAAGGCCCTGGCTGAGCAGGGGCAGGTGAGGGCTGGGGCAGGGAGAGGCACGGGAGGACCCTCCAGTGCACGTGGCAACACGATGTACCTGCATGCTCGAGGTCAGCGCACTGAGCCAACTTCACCACATGCATGTGACAGCTCCCTAAGTTCCAGGACTGGGGGGACTGTGCACCCAGGGGCCCCAGACACCTTGGACGTAACGGGATCTGCCGACTGTGTTGCCCTCCCAGGTGTGATCCCAGCAAATCATGTCTTCTCAGTTCAGGGCCAGGGGTTCAGGTCCCAGCCTCATTCCCCACAGCTCACCCCAGGTCTGGGGCACATACCAGGGCCTTTATGACAGAAGATTTTTTGACCTGGGGTTCCCAGGCTCATCCTGCAGGTGTGCTTGGGCCACCCACAATGACGGTTCATCCAGGAGTTCCTCCATCACTCCCCCCACCCCAACCCAGTAGGGCAGCCTTCCCAGGGCCATAGGGCTTGAGTGCCCCATGGCCTGCTGCTGTCTAGCACTGCCTCAGGCTGGTCCAGGCTGAATGAGGCCCACATGGGTCGAGGGTTGGTGTGGACAGCTTCAGTGTGGAAATGCACCCTGGGGATCCAGATGGCACTTCCTGGGCTCACTATGTATGCCCAGACAGCTTCAGCAGTTCTCAGTAAATATGTGTCAACCTGTGGATGGACAGATGGACAAAGAACCACATGAGAAACATCCATGTGGCTGAGGTCCTTCACTGACCTGTGACTCCAGACTCCCTGTCACCGGGTCTTTCACCCCCAGGGCTGCCGTGTGGCATGTCCAGGGCCACTGTGTACACAGATTGCAGGGATGGTGTCTTGGGAGTCCAGCCCTACACCACCTCACAGACAGCATGGTGGCCCATCCCCACCCTCACGAGCAAAGTCCCTGAGGCCCAATCCAGTGTCTGAGGCCATTTCACAGATGTTATTGTCACGTTGAGAGCTCTGGTAATGTAGTGCCTAGGGCACTTGACTGCTAACCAGAGGCTGGCGGTTCAAACCCACCAGGCACTCCTCGGAAGGAAGATTGGGCAATCTACTTCTGTAGTGATACTGCCTCGGAAATCCGAGGAGGGGTCGCTCTGAGTCGGGTCTGACTCAACGGCACGTAACAACAACAACAACGACATTGTCACGTTATTTATGCTAGAAAAGAAAGTGGCCAAGGTGGCTGGGGACACGGAGGAGGAGGAAGAGGAAGGGAAGGAGTGGGAGGAGGAGGAAGATGAAGGGGAGGAGGGGGAGGAGGAGACAAAGGTAGGGGAGGAGGAGTGGGAGGAGGAGGAGGACGACGAGGAGGATGTAGATCCCTCTCACACTGTTCTGGTTCCCTAGTGCCACTCTGACAAGAATATACCACCAATGGGATGGCCTTAACAAACAGGAGTTTATTCTCTCACAATTTGGAGGGTAGAAGTCCAAGTTCACAGTGCCAGGCTCTAGGGGCTGGGTGAAAGTCCCTCAACCTTGGGCTTCAGCTCTGCCTCTTGCTCCTGGCCCATTGAGGGACACCTCTTCACTCAGGCAGCTACTAGCTGCTGAGGCTAACAACCCCAAGATCGACAAATAAAATGGCACAGTCCCAATGTTACCAAACCACACAGCAGGCCGTTAATGTAAGTCCATTGAAAGTCCCAAGGTCAGCAGAGCATGGCAGGCTGCTGAACAATGACATGGCTACATGCAGGGTTCAAGGTGCCATAAGCTAGAAACCGTTCCCCAAGGCTTTTCTCATATACAGGAAGCAGACCACATCCCTAAGGCAGCTACTCAGCTGCTCACAGTAGATTCCACCATGGAGTTGATTACCAGTCTCATCATGGGGAATACTACCCCCAGCTGCCCAGCCACTCAACCAGGTGTAGCCAAGTTGACACACAGACTTAACCACCACACATGGAGAAAGGAGTCTTTCAAACATGGAAAGGACATGGCAAACCACAGAAGGGAATGAAGTTCAGGATCCGAGGCAACCGGCTTTCTCCCCAACACTGCTTTGTTCTCGCAACACTGCTGGTGACGGGAATGCCACAGGGGCTCAGGACAGAAGAGGCGTGTGCCCAGGAAGCCCACACCATCCAAGGCCTGACCTTGAGGCTGGCCACCAAGACATCCACACACTGTGCAGAAGAGCACAGCTTTGGGCCGTGCAGTGGCCCAGGAAGGCTGGCCCCAGGCTTCTTGCTCTTCAGCTGGTTCATGGCTCTCGTGGGTGGGCACCGTCAGGGCCATCAGAAGCATAGTGTCCACCAGGCTGGTGGGCCCTGGGCACCTCCTCTTGGGAGATCATGGGGTGAGGTTAAGATGCAACCCTGTAGCGTGTTCATTTTCTCACTCCCTTTCCTTCTGCAAGGATGTGAAGTGGATTGAAGAGAAGCAGGCCTTGTACCGAAGAAACCAAGAGCTGGTCGAGAAGGTATGCCCAGGCCACCCATCTGGGTGCCCACTTGGAGCCCTGCGGGGCTGGTGGGGTCCATGAGCACCCCATCGAGGTGCTTCCAGGCCTCGCCCATCCACAGGACCCTGGCAGTAGCTCCGGGCTAACTTGTTCACCTCTATGGGTGACGATGGCCTGGAATGGGCCTGGGGAGGTTGGGTCCCTGCTGTTTGCTGGTGGGTATGTGTTGGTGATGGTGACATTTTGGCAGAGTGGCCTTTCGAAGCCACTGGAATCATCCAAGTTGAAAGTCTGGCTGGGTCAGGGGCCAGGTCCAGAGGCCATGTGGTGCTCAGGGAAGACTTCCATAGAGTCCCCGTGGAAGGCCTTGACATCCACTTCTGCCCTTGCTGAGCAGCTGGGAGTGCAGGTCTGGTCGACCCAGCAGCTGGCTCACTGAGAGCTGCTCTCGGCCTCTGGACATTATGCCTGTCACCCCCAGGCTGGAGCTTGGCTGGTCAGAAAGTGTGGTGGACAGCTGACTATTCTTGCCAATGGCCTCAGCTTTGACTGGAGGGTGCCCCCATGCCTTCACCCCGGGGTGCAGTCAGGGAGGGAGCATGGTCCTCTTCTCCATCACAGCCTCCCCTGGTGGAGCCTGACCTTCCACCAAAGTAGAGACAGGCAATCACAGCACTGAGACACCAGTCTGATGAGATCTGGGCCATGTGGGCTCACCCTGATTTGGGGGATAGGAGCCTGGAAACTTTGAGTGAGTTGTGGGGAATAAGGGGGCTGGCTACAGTCAGTCACTCAGGCGGCTGCAATTTAGGCCATCTCTCATGGGTAAGGGGTGCACCTTGGGACCACTTGCACACCAGTAGCTGGTGGTCGCCTTGTCCCCTGGCAGAGAGGGGCTGGGGAGGCAGTGCCACCACCCTTGGGAGGTAGGGTGGCCGCAGGCAAGGAGCAACCTTCTGGAAGCCGGGACGGTGAGCAGCTCGGAACCCAGCCTGTTCCTCCCTGGCCAGGGCGCCCCCTAACCCCTCCCCCAGTGGGACTCATGCTCTGGGCCTGGTCCCCTCCTTGACTGCTAAGCGGCACCTGGGCCTTCCTGTGGGCCGCCCGCACGTGTCTGAGCACAGGAAGGCCGCATCCAGGGGCGTGTGCTCGCTGGAGCCTGTGCCGTGGCCTCCAGGGACCCTGGTCACCTGCCTGCTCACAGGTGCCGCCTTGTGCTCACCTGGAGCCTATGCTGCTGGCTGCAGGCCGACACCCCCCACCCACACACACACACACACACACACACACACACACAGTATCAGAGCAGCCCCTCACCTGAGTTCCTTTCAGGGGGAGAGACCACTGCCCCTATGGGCCCCTCCTGGGGCTCTTTTCCAGTTGGTGCTCGTGGGGCTGGTGAGGACCAGGGCCCAGCATCTCTGGAAGGTGTGGGCTTCATGCGAGGAGCACAGGCATCGTGCTGCTGTTTAGATAGCCTCTCAGGGCATAGGCGCTGCCAAGGGAGCCAGGTACTGCCCACGGATGCAGGTGGTGGGAACTCCCTCAGCCAGCCTAGTGCTGGGGACATCCTGTGGCTGCTGGCAGCCAGCGAGGCCCGAGCCACTGGGCCTTGTCCTGCCTTTGCCCTCAGGGGGCGCCTCCAACCCTCCCCCAGCTCTGTCTGCCTTTCTGCTGCCCAGGCCCTGGGGCTCAGCTGAGGACACAGACTCCAGGGAGGTTTTGCCTGCTGTTCCGTGCGGCTCGGGAGCCGTCCAGCAGATGGCCTCCGAGGGGCAGGTCTGGCATTCTCTGAGGTCGCTGATCTCTGGCCTCGCAGATAAAACAGGTGGAGACCGAGGAAGCGCGGCTGAAGCATGACGTCCAGGATGCGAGAGACCAAAACGAGCTGCTGGAGTTTCGGATCCTGGAGCTCGAGGTGTGCTCAGGGCACAGTGCGCTGGCCGCGCCCAGCAGGGAGGGGCGTGGCCAGGCTCCTGTGGCCTCTCCCCCTGAGCCTCTCACCTAAGCCTCCCTGACTGATGGGAAGCAGGAAGGGCAGTGACCTGCCCAGGGCCGCCTGGCCGGGGTGACGGCACCAGGCTGCCACGGGGTCCACACCTGGGGTCACCCTGCCCCTCCAGTCTGGAGGACCCCTGCTTCTGTCAGCACTTTGGCACAGTGGCTGAGTTCTTGGGAACGCCCAGGTGACCCCACACTCTGTGGCCTGTGTCACCATCCTACTCCCCGGACATCCTGGTCCAGCCACCCAGAGGAGGAGATGGGGCGGCTGTGACCGGCGTGTGCCCAGCCTCTGTCCCCTGTCCCAGGAGAGAGAGAGGAAGTCACCTGCCATCAACTTCCACCATGTGCCCTTCGTGGACGACGGGAGGAGTCCTCTGCAGGTGTACTGCGAGGCGGAGGGCGTGACGGTAAGCCCGCTCCCGGCCCAGTAGCCACGCTCACCCAGTGGGTCCCCTCCAGTCTGCCCGCTGCGCTCACCCTGTCCGCCTGTCTCTGCTCCCAGGACATCCTGGTCTCGGAGCTGATGAAGAAGCTGGACATCCTGGGCGATAACGCCGTAAGTGTATGTCGCTCTCCTGACTTGTGCATGCTCCCTCGGTCTCCTGCACCCAGCTCACAACGCCCCGCCCACAGGCCCCACCCACAGCACCCAGCTCACAGCGCCCCGCCCACAGCGCTCGGACCCGCCCGTTGGCATGCTGGGCTCACGGCTCCTGCACTTGGCTGCTCATGGCAGTGCCCGCGGGGACACGTAGGTCCTCAGGGTCTGGCCCCCAGGCTTCAGGCTCCTCCTGCTGTGGGCAGGGACACCCAGGGCTGTCAGTGCCAAATCTTGGCTTATCCTTGTGGGGAGGTGGCAGTGGAATAGCTGTCCTCAGAAATCCCCAGCCCTCATTGGGCCTGGGGTCGGAGTTCCAGCGGCTGAGTGCCTGCGTCCTTCGCCCCGCCCTGGGTCCTCTGTCTGTACTCTTCGCCCCCCCCCCACTTCCGCCAGGCCCTGTGTTGATGGCACCCCATTTCTGCCCTGACTTGGGGAGCAGGTAAGAGAAGAGGTGGGAGGTGCTGGGGGGCTTTCCAAGCCCTCATCCCTCGCTCGGACCCCGGGCTTCAGTGCCATTTTGGGGGTAGGCTCCAAGGTCCAGCTCTGGATATTGGTCCCATCAGGGATTTGAGGGGGATTTCCCAGCTGGACAGAGTGAGGCCCTAGGGCCATGTGGACCATGGGGCTGATTTAACGGCATTGCTAGGACCGATGGAGCTGGCTGGCAGACCCCTACTCAGGTGCCCTCGGAGCCCCCAGCACAGCCAGTATTCATGGCCACCCCACCACAGAGTCTCGCAGCTCCCTCTACCCCAGCTCAGGGACAGGATCGGGCACACCTCTGTGCTAAGATCAGGGCCACAGAAAGCAGCTCCTGGACCAGTGCCAACATCTTCCCAGGCCCGGCCTCAAAGCCACTGCCGAGCACAGGAGCAGGAACCAGAAACACAGGTACCCCAGGACGGTGTCCTGCAGGGCCCACACCCGCCAAACCTATCTGGAAGTGAAGAGCAGCCTGCTAGTGAGGCAGGTGACAGGGACAGACCGGCCACCACCAGCTGATGACAGGGACAGATGTCATCACCCGCAGGTGACATGGACAGACCGGCCATCACCGCCAGGTGACAAGGACAGACCAGCCACCATCGGCAGGTGACAGGGACAGACCGGCCACCATCGGCAGGTGACAGGGACAGACGTCATCACCGGCAGGTGACAGGGACAGATGTCATCACCCGCAGGTGACATGGACAGACCGGCCATCACCGCCAGGTGACAGGGACAGACCAGCCACCATCGGCAGGTGACAGGGACAGACCGGCCACCATCGGCAGGTGACAGGGACAGACGTCATCACCAGCGGGTGACAGGGACAGACTGGCCACCATCGGCAGGTGACAGGGACAGACCGGCCATCACCGCCAGGTGACAGGGACAGACTGACCATCACCAGTAGGTGACAGGACAGACTAGCCACTGGCTGGTGACCAGGCCATTGGTGCCTTTGTGGCTCAGACCCACCCTAGCAAGTGCTGCAGAGCCCCAAATGGCCTGTGGACACACCTGGATCTGCTCCCAGAGTGGTCAGGGCCCTGGGTGCTAAGAGAAGAGGTTCATGGTGAGCAGAGCAGGTGCCCATCTGCCCACTGCTGCACATGGGCTGTGGGGAGAAGGTCACCAAGGGAAGAAAGATTTAGTCACACCATGGGTCAGCCCAATTTAACTGTCCCAGGGAGTCCTACGGTCGCCCTGAAGCCACCTCCAAGCCCCTGCCCTTGAATCTTAGCCATCACACAAAGCTCTGGCTGGGAACCCAGAGCAGGAGGAACAAGGGGCATCCCAGCCAGAAGGCCAGCCCTGTGGGCAAGTCCAGGAGGCCCACAGTCCCCACAGGGACAGTCTTTCTCCACCTGTGGCCTGAGTTGTGGGCTTCATGCTGACTGCAGGGGGAAGAGGAGCCCTCAGGGAGTCCGGTCCCAGGAGCAGTGGAAGGACCCTGACAGGGTGTCCTAGCAAAAAGCTCCCCTTGTGTGAGGGGGCTGGGGAGCGTGCATCATGAGCCCCCCCCCCGTGCCAGGTCCCCTGCCCTAGCCTTGTTGAGGTCCTCCTACCCCCACTGTGATCCACCAGGTCCCCTGTCCCAGCATCTATCCTACAAAAACCTCCCACGGGGCCCTCTTAGCCATACCTTCCTCCTTACCACGCTCTCTCTCCACACCCACCTGCCTATGGAAGCCTGGCTGTCTTGAGGACACTGAGGCCAGCCGGAGGGCAGATGCCAGGGCCTGGAGGTGCCTGTGGATGGTAGTGCTGGTCCCAAAGCCAGAGGGCCCCTGGGCGGAGGCAGGGAGAGGGCGCAGGGAGGCCAGCTGTGGGGCTTGGAATCTTTGCCAGCTGTGAGCCCACCCCCTCCTGTTCTGCATGGGGACCAAAACCAAACACCAAACTCACTGCTGTTGAGTGGGATCCGACTCATAGTGACTCCTCCTTGGGTTTCCAAGGTGGTATCACTACAGAAGTAATTGCCCAAACTTCCTGAGCTGGGGTGGGACCTCATTGGCTAGAAGAACCCCAGCTACTTGCTCCCTAAGCCTCCCCCATGGGCTTCACGGGGCCTGCGCTATTAGCCTAGCCTGTCTGGATACCCACAGTCAGAGGCCGTGAGGCCGCACACAGTGTGCCCAGTCAGCAGTGCTGAGAGAGCGGGGGTCAGAGCCCCAGGGGAGCTTCAGCGCTCATGGCCCAGCCCTGCCACACCCCAAGAGCTGCTGCCCTGACAGCTGTGTTCTGCTTTTGGGCAGAATCTGACCAACGAGGAGCAGGTGGTCGTCATCCAGGCAAGGACCGTCCTGACCTTGGCTGAAAAGGTAATGGTGACTGTGTGGACGCTCCGTGACGGGGCCACCTGGGGGAGGATCACTCCAGCACAGGGACTCCTGGGGACCTGGCCACTAACAGCACCACCTCACACCTTTGGGAGGAAGTATCCACCCCACCCTGGCCTGGGCCTTACTGCTCTTCCCCAAAAGGCAGAGCCTTGAGGCTGGGGCTGCAGAATGGTCCTCTGAGGGCTGCCTCCTTGCACCCCACTCCCTGCTCCCAGGGCTGCCACCCTCCTGGTCCCCCACCACCCGGGGCCCACCAGTGGACTGTAGTCAGGGCCACCTCTCCAGACCTTTCAGCAGCAAGGAGCAGAGGAGACAGGATGGGAGGATGTGACCTCAGGAAGACAGCCACCCCCCCTTGCATCTCCCAGCAGAGCCCTCCAGGGCCACTCTGCCTCTTTGCACCCCAAATCATTGTTCCTCCCCGGGGGTGGGCAGCCCAGATATGGTTACATGCCCCATGGCCACAGAGCTCAGGATCTGGCCCAGCCCCTCCTCCCCTGGAGGAGCTGGAGGATGGAGGCCAGGTTCTCCTGTCACTGGGAACACGCATGCTCCTGTGGCCACCCCCATGGAGGTGGGGAGGCAGGATGACTGGCCTGTGGGGAAGCCCAGGGTCCCTGTGACTCATGGAGGCAGGGTGGCTGGCCTGTGGGGACGCCCAGGGTCCCTGTGACTCATGGAGGCAGGGTGGCTGGCCCCTGTGGATGTCCACGGTCCCTGTGACTTGCTCATTCTGTTTGTGCCCAGTGGCTCCAGCAGATTGAAGAGACGGAGTCAGCCCTGCAGCGGAAGATGGCTGACCTGGAAAGTGAGAAGGTAGGTGTGTTTGCGGGTGCCCTGTGGTGCCACCACCACTTGGCACCAACTAAGGCTGGCCCTCTGTTGCTAGGAGCTGTTCAGTAAGCAGAAAGGCTACCTAGATGAAGAACTGGACTACCGCAAGCAGTCCCTGGACCAAGCTCACAAGGTAAGGGCCACGTGTCCACCCAGCAGAGCTGCCAGGACCATTGTCCTAGACAGCAGGGACTTGAGTAACAGACGGCAGAGTGTGCTCACACCTGCCCCTGAGGTCACATCACCTCAGGGGTCACCATCCTCAGTCAGTAGGGACTCAGGCTACAGATGGAGGCGTGTGCTCATGCCTGTCCCTATGGCCACCTCTCTCCACATTCACCCACCATGGTGTCCGTCAAGGTCAAGGCTCTGTGGGCAGCACTGGGCCGTGGCTGTTCAGTGTCACTTCCTGCAGATTCCCAGAGGAAGGCCAGCATGTTCAGCTTGCTGCCTTGTGGGTTTTTATTTATTTATTTATTTACATCATTTAAGGATTGGATTTTCCCCTGGATAACAAACCTGCATACACTCATCTGTCATTCATGAGCTCAAGCAGATGGGTATCAAAGACTGGACCCCAAGTGCCCAGGTGAACAGTGGCCTGGGATCCCTGCAAATTTCCACATGTTCCCCGCTCTGTGAATGCAAGAATCCAGTTGAGTCAAGGTGACCCTGATTCATGGCGACCCTACGTGGGTCAGAGTAGAGCTGCGCTTTATGGGGTTCTTAGCGGCTGAGTTTTCAGAAGTAGACTACTAGGCCTTCTTCCAAAGTTCCTGTGGGTGGACTTGACCCTTCAACCTTTCAGTGCTTAACTATTTGTCGCACCCAGGAGCTCCTAAGCACAAGAAGTAGTCCTGAACCCTTCCATGATCTGTGGGACAGATAGTGCCCAACTACATTTTCTTTATCTGGGGTTTAGTAGGAAACTGCTGTCCCACTTTTAGTGTTTGAGACCATCTGGTAGTTTTCTAACTCCAGATCTTTGCACATTTCATTATAATAATTGACTTTGTCTTCTCGAGCTGCTCTTTGAAATCTTCTGTTCAGTTCTTTTATCCTGTTGATTCTTCCATTTGCTTTAGCTACTCTCTGTTCAAGAACAAGTTTCAGAGTCTCTTCTGACATCCATTTTTGCCTTTGCTCTTTTCTTGTCTTTTTAATGACCTTTTGCTTTCTTCATGGATGATGTTCTTGATGTCATCCCACAGTTCATCTGGTTTTTCAGTCATTGGTTTTCAACCTGCCAAATCAACTCTTTAGATAGTCTCTAAATTCAGGTGGGATATAATCAAGGTCATATGTTGGCTATTGTGGACTTATTTTAATTGTCTTCAGCTTCAACTTGAACTTACATATGAGCAGTTGATGGTCTGTTCAACAATCAGCTTCTGGCCTTGTTCTGGCTGAAGATATTGAGCTTCTCCATCGCCTCTTTCCACAAATGTAGTTGATCTGATTCCTATGTATTCCATCTGCCAAAGTCCATGTGTATAGCTGCCATTTATGTTATCGAATAAAGGTGTTTGCAATGAATAAGTCATTGGTCTTGCAAAATTCTGTCGTGATCTCCAGCATCATTTCTATCACCAAGGCCATATTTTCCAAAGACTGGTAATTCTTTGTTGTTTCTAACTTTTGCATTCCAATCATCAATAATAATCAATATATCTTGATTGCATGCTTGGTCAATTTCAGACTGCAGAAGTTGATAAAATCTTCAGTTTCCTTGTCTTTGGCTTTGGTGGTCATGCATAAATTTGAATAATAGTTTAACTGGTCCTCCTTAAGGTATATGGATATTATCCTATCATTGACAGCGTTGTACTTCAGGATAGAACTTGATACATTGTTTGTGATGATGAATGCCATTCCATTCCTCTTCAGTTTGTCATTCATAGCATAATAGATCAACATAAAGAAAATAAAAATCCTCACAACTGGACCAATAAGCAGCATCATGATAAATGGGGAGAAGATTGAAGTTGTCAAAGACCTCACATTATTTGGTTCCATAATCAACACCAATGGAAGCAGCAGTCAGAACATCAGACGACGTATTGCACTGGGCAGATCTGCTCCAGAAGACACCTTTAAAATGCTGAAGAACAAGGATATCTCTCTGGAGACTTCTCCCAAAAAAACCAAACTCACTGCCATCGAGTTGATTCTAACTCATAGTTGACCCCCTTTGGGTTTCTGAGGTGGTAAATCTTTATGGAAGTAGTTGTCCAGTCTTCCTTCTGTGGAGTTGCTGATGAGTTTGAACCACCAACCTTCTGGTTAGCAGTCCAATACCTTAGGCACTAGGCCACCAGAGTTCCTTCTTTGAAGACTTAGGTGCTCCTAACCCAAGCCGTGGTGTTTTCAGTTGCCTAATATGCATGTGAAAGCTGGGCAATGAATAAGGAAGACTGAAGAAGAGTTGGCGCTTTTGCATTGTGGTGTTGGCAAAGAATACTGGAAGTGTGATGGACTGCCAGAAGAAGGAACAGATCTGTCCTGGAGGAAGTGCAGCCAGAATGCTCCTTGGAAGCGAGAATGGCCAGACTTCGTCTCACCTACTTTGGTCATGTCAGAAGGGACCATTCCCTGGAGAAGGATGTCATGCTTGGTAAGGTGGAGGGTCAATGAGCTGGATTGACACAATGGCTGCAGTGACGGGCTCAGGTATAGCGGGGATTGTGAAGACGGCACAGGACCGGGCTGTGCTTCATTCTGTTGTACACAGAGTCTCTATGAGTTGGAGACGAACTGACGGCACCTCACAACAACAGCCATCTGGTGGGGGACTGTATAACTGCGTGAATCTGAGGAAGCAGGCCTCATTTCACCAACCCTGGCACCAGAGACCCCTTGGGGCGTATATGTCTCACTAATTGTATAAAGTCCATATTGCCTCAAAAAATACTTTTGTTTTATTCAAAATGCCTTCCATTACCGAAAAGGTGGTTTCAACACAAAATTTAAAGCAGAAAATAATTGGTCTTAAAAGGATTGAAATGGGGCCACGGCACATGAAGTGCAGGGACGGTTGGTCCTGCAGGGGGCGCCTGGCTCAGCCCCAGGGCTTTCCTCTTCCTGTGAGAGGACAGATCAGCATCTCAGCTGCCTGTTTCTTGGAAGCCATTGTGATGATAATTTAAAGCCAGTCCCAGCACTCTTCTTTCATCTTTTGCTTTGAGAAGCACCCTTTGATGTTGGTTCTGAGCTGGTCCTATCAGTGGGCAGCTGATTTTGTGGCAGTCAAAAATGATAAAATGTCAGAGACAGATGTGTTCTTTCATTTCCTCAACTTTCTGGAAAACCAAAAGGAGTTTTTTCATGGTCATTTTTCCTGAAGAAAAGAGAACATTAACTGCTAAAGACATTTTATATTTTTGACGGGAAGATGTGCCCCTGCAACCTGATAATTTGGTTTTTCATAAATTGTTTCCATAAGATTCCCTGAGGGAGAAGTTTTTATCTGTGCTTTTTTCCCCCATATATCTATATCTATATAGATACAGATATATTTTAAATTTTTATTGCTATTTCAGTGAAAATTTACGGAGCAAATTCACTTTCCCTACAGCAGTTCACATACACTTTGTCTCATGACATTGACTGAAATTTCCCACAATGCAGCAGCTCCCCTCCCACTTCCTCCCCATAGTTACCTCCTCCTCCAGGAGGCAGGAAGTCTCACCGCCCTTCATTTACAGATGAGGAAACTGAGGCACTGACAGGAAAAAGTGCAGCTAATGGGGGGCCCATTAGTTACCATGTGTCCATTCCTCCATGCACTCCTGACCCCTGAGCTGTCTCCCTGTGCATACACAGCCCTTCTATTCTCCCATGATTGATCTCTCCAAGGAGTGTATCTACCTAATGTAAATGTTCACCTCATATGTGTGTCTTTTGTTTGGCTGGAAGCCACAGGAGTGGGTTCTTAGAATTCCAGACCTGAATGGCGACTAGGGCCCGTAGTCTCAGTGGTTCCACCGGGCTCTATTGGACCATCAAAACTGGTCCTTTTTCTTAAAATGATTTTGAGTTTTATTTCACATTCTTCTCCTGAGGGAGAAGTTTGAGGTCAAACCGATGGATCCCTGACATTCCTGGGTGGTGCAAACAGTTCATAGGCTCTGCTGCGAGCCCAGAGTTTGCAGGTTCAAGTTTACCCAGAGGCACTCCAGAGGAAAGGCCTGGCCATCTCTTTCCAAAAGACCAGCCATTGAAAGCCTGACAGAGCACAGTTGGACTCTGACACACTGGTGGGGGTGCCACCTGTCAGATTTAGCCCCACAACAGCTGGTTAGGGGTCCATAGGAAGGGATGTGTCATTGCTCCTGAGTCACTGCAAAGCGACCATTTGTATCCATCCTTGGTGGTTCCTCGGCAATGAACTGGAGACCTGGAAAGCAGCATCAAGGGTGAGCCACGCTCCCTGGCCTGTTCTGTTCCCACGTCATCATGGTTTCCACACACCCCCATCCACCCAGCCTGCGCCCACATTTCCGCCCCAGCTCCAGACCAGCTCTGCTCCATGGTTGCTCCTAGCTCACACCTTCCTTCCTCCTTGGCATCACAGTGTCATCCCTGAGCTGAGTGATGTGGGGTCCTGTCCCCACCCTGTCAGCTAACATGTCCCTCATGGGTCTTTGCGTGGGTGGGGAGTCCTGGCGGACCCGTCCCACTGCCTGGTCAGCTCCTCTGCCTTTTGTGGATCTTCTTGTGGGTGAAGGGTCTTTGGGGTTCAGACTCATCCCCAGAGATTCGTGGTGAGGACTGTGACTCCTAGCTACTCTTTTCCCTCCATTGGCTGGTGATTCAGCTTCTCGTTGCTCTTCCTGATGGCCGGGGTGGCCTGGCCCCAAGCCATTCTGGCAGTGAACCTGTGGGGTAGCTTGGGAAAGGGCACTGTAGGTGCTGGGGACAGTGGTCATGGTCATGGAGATGTAGGAGGCACCCTGTTTGGGACCTGGTGGCAGCATGAAGTCTGAGTGTCAGAGGCTGCATGGGCCCCCCATTAGCTGCACTTTTTCCTCTCAGTGCCTCAGTTTCCTCATCTGTAAGTGAAGGCCGGTGAGACTTCTTGCCTCGTGGAAGAGGAGCCTGTTGTTCCTCACTGGGATAGTGGAAGGTGATGAAGCTGGAGTGACGGTCTGAGGCCTTGTTTGGAGTCAGGGTGGGCTGTATAGAGAGGACCACAGTGGAGGGTATGTGACTGGATTGCCTGGCTGGGCAGGGGAGTTGAGGACTCTCACACAAACCTCTGCAAAGGCTCGGCCTCTTCCTTGTTTGGGACAATGCATGAAAGCCAAGGAGACAGAGGGTTTAACTGCGATTGGAGTGGAAGCAGAGGTTCTTTCCCTGTTACTTCTTCCTCGAGACACACCCTTCCTCCAACTCTGCCCCTTCTGGTTTTCATCTCTCTCTGGTCAGAATATCTGCTGACCATGCTTTTCCTCATCTTAATGACATGACAAGGCATTTTGCCAGTGGAACTAATTTAGACGTGAAATGAGTCCCTGCACTGTTTTCCTGCTGCCTAGAGTGTTATGGACCCAGGTGAGGAGGAAGGAGCCCCCTCCCTCCTGGTCAGTTCCTGGCATCCCTCAGGGAGGGCTGGTGTGTCTGGGGACCAGGTGAGAACTGACAGTCTCCCGGGACCACCCCGGCAGCACATCTTGGAGCTGGAAGCCATGCTATATGACGCCCTGCAGCAGGAGGCCGGGGCCAAGGTGTGTGAGCTGCTCTCGGAGGAGGAGCGCGAGAAGCTCAAGGTCGCCGTGGAGCAATGGAAGCGCCAGGTCATGAGTGAGCTTCGAGAACGTGATGCACAGATCCTTCGAGAGCGCATGGAGCTGCTGCAGCTGGCGCAGCAGGTGTGTGTGGGCGCACAGGGCCGGGAGAAGTAGGACCTAAAGGCTGGGGCAAGGTGGGCCAGGCTTCAACCTGGAGCCAAGGCAAGCTCCCATGACTGGGGCCTTCAGTGACCAGACCCTTCAGTGACCAGACCCTCCAATGACTGGATTCTTTAAGGACTAGACCATCAGTGATTAGATCCTCCAATGATTAGACCACCCAACGACCAGACCCTTCAATGACTGGACCCTCCAGTGACTGGACCCTCTAATAACTACACCCTTCAATGACCAGACCCTTCACTGTCCAGGCTCTCCAATGACTGGACCCTTCGATGACTGGATCCTCCAATGACCAGACCCTCTAATGACTAGACCCTTCAATGACTGGACGCTCGAGTCACTGGACCCTCTAATGACTGGACCCTTCAATGACTGGACCCTCTAATGACCGGACCCTTCAATGACCAGACCTTCCAATGACTGGGTCCTCCAATGACTGGACCCTTTGGTGACCAAACCCTTCAATGGCAAGGACCTCCAGTGACAGGACTCTTGTATGGCCAGCCCCCACATGGTCAGGGCCTCCCAGCCCTGGCCTCACATCCTTGCACCCCTTGCCCTGTCAGACCAGTTTCCTGGTCCCCAGATTGCCTGGTCTCTTCCTTACTCGTCCCTCAATGGTGTGAGTGCCATCAGGGGCCAAGAAGCATCCTTTGCCTTGTCTTGGCCTCAGTGGCACTTTGTGACCTCAGGCTGGTGCACTTCTACTGAGAGATGAGGAGACCCCACTGATGACATGTGTCAGTTCCTTGTGTGGGTAAGATTGGCCTGGTAATGACTTTTGTCAGCACGTTATTCCATGTTACAGAAACCCCAACTGCAAAATAACCCACTTGTCAAATCAGATAACCAGTCAACCCACTGGCAAACCAGTCCAGCCACTGGCCAACTCAGATAACCAGGCTACCTGCTGGCCAACTCAGATAACAAGGCCACCCACTGGCCAACTCAGATAACTGGTTATTAGTTGAAAGTTTATGTCAGAGTGTTAATGTGTGACCAAAGTGTAGGTCAGTTACCAGGGCATTCGCTGCTGGGCTCCTGTGGTTGTTAGTTTCCCTGCGTGCCTCTTGGGTCCCCAGCAGCCACCAAGGTCACCTGTGGCTACCTGTGCTCTATAAGATGGGAAACCTTCAAAGCTCAGCCTCCTCTAGGACCCCTGGCAGGACGCTCAAGTCCAGAGCGGACACACAAACCACACCCCCCTTAGTTGGCATTGCAGTTGACACCAAAGTAAAGAGCAGGTCCCAAGCCCAGAATTGTCCTGGCAAGAGAGTCCTCTGTGACTTGCTGCCCTGGGCTCTTCTGGCTGCTGCTCCCCGGGAAGGCTGTGAGCTGACGTCCTTCCATCTCCCGACTCTCCAGTCACCAGACTCTCAGCATTACGGTTTATGATTGAGGTTGTAGGAGGTTGTGAGTAGTGACTCTAGCCTGTGAAGTGGGTCTGCAGAGAAGCCCTCAGCTCAGCTAGTGGAGCAAGGCAGCAGACTGAGGGAGATGCATGTCCAAGGGGGCACAGAGCCAGGCCAACCTCCTTTCTTAAGACCACGAGTTCCCACAGTCCGTGGTGCGAGGACGGGCTCCATGCTCTGGGCTTCTCAGATCATGGTGTGTCTGTCAGGGTCCAAACATGGGGGTGCAGACAAGTTTTGGAAGGAGATGAGTGTCAGACTCCTTGTGCACTGTGGGGCCTGGGGATGGCAGCCAGCATGCCAGCCACTCTGACTGTGTGACGGAAGTACACAAGAAAGTCCTCACAGACTTGTTCCTGAGTGTCGTGTGTGCTGAGGATGCTCCTGCTTTTAACATTGCAGAGAATTAAAGAGCTGGAAGACCGGCTCGAAGCTCAGAAGAGGCAGATCAAGGAGCTGGAGGAGAAGGTACACGCAGGGCGGATGTCGCATCACTTGTTGATGGTGCTTAGCAGCAGAGAGGAGGACTCCTAGTGGCCAGGAGCCAGCTCTCTAAGGAGTGAGCAGACATGTCACGGGAGAAGATGGCCAAGCTCAGGGTGGAGTTGGACAGAAAGAGCTTTGGGAATGGTGGCTGCAAGGGCTCGGAGCGTCCCCCCAGCGCTCATCCACCCCGGCAACCTGGGAGGGGTCCAACTCACATCTGTAGGGGTACAGTGGGCCAGTGACCCGGCCCTTTCGCTGCCAGTGCCCTGCGCAGTGTGAACTCGAGTTAGAGGTCCCCAAGCCTCCCAGCCCTGCGGGTCTGAAAGGCAAGTTCCTGCCAATTGTGCGATAAGAAGCTGTCATTGCTGCAGGCTTAGGGACCTGGGAGGGCCGATGTCCAGCCAGGTGGGGCTGCCAGCTTGTGCCCAGGATGCTTGCGCATGGCTCAGTAAGGGGAGCCCTGTGTGTGGACCACCCCTGCCATGTGTGCTGCTGACATGACCCCATGTGGCCACCCCGAATCAGGAGGCAGAGTCCAGGGAACCTGCGTCACAGCAGGGCTTTACTGAGCTCTGGGGACCACTTAGTGATTCCAGCAGTCAGACGGGTGGGCCTCACTGAAATGGCCGGTTAGGTGCCACCTCCCATGTCCCTTCAGAGATACCAGGATGCTGATGTGGGAACCAATGTGTCAGGTCCCTCCTGGTGCTGGCTGTCCCTGGGCTTGTGCCTGCCAGGAGGGATGGGACCCCTGACCCTCGTCCCGGCACATGACCACTCTCCACTGCCCCCTTAACTGTGCCCCCTTCCCCTGGGCCCCTTTCTGTGGCCTGCTGACCAGCTGCGCAGTGTACATGCACTTCCCCTCTGTAGCACCCATGGGGTGGGTCCTACCTTCGATGCTGGGACCATTTGGAGCCCCACATAGCTAGGACTGTGAGGCTGGTGTAGCACCCAGTGGTGTTTCATTCTGTTGTTCATAGGGTCACTGTGAGTCAGAGCCGACTCCATAGCACCTAACAACAGCAGGGGGCTCGCCCAGGTCTGCAGGGCTCAGGCCTCCCTGGTGGGCCCCTCCTCCCCAGACTCTGGCCCTCTTCCATTCAGAGAGTTGAGTGCTGGCTTACTGAGCAAGCTAAGGCACTTTTGCATTTCCAAGTGTTCACACCATCACAGTGTTTTCTCTTAGGTCTGAGTTGGTCTGGCGCCCCCATCCGCCACCAACTGGGGCTTCAAGTGTTAAATCCGCTTGGGGTGTCAGCTGGAGTGGGACTGAGGAGAGTGGTCATGGGAACTCGTGTGCCTGACCCTCAGACAGAAGCCAGTGGTCTGCTCTCCACCCCAGACACAGGCTACAGGCCTGGGGCCCACCCCACAGAGGAGCCCCAAGAGGCGAGGTGACTGCCAGAGCCACCGCCTCACTGTGCTGGGGACGAGGTGGCATGGGGCCCCACTCGTGCCCACAGCTCTGGCCCCCTAGACCCCTCCCGAGTGGGCAGTATGGGCCCTCCAAGCAACACGTCTCAGCACCTCAGCTGCTTCCCCCTGGCCACTCCCCGCTGACCCCCGCCCAATCACCCCCACCAAACCTTGCAGCCCCCCCGTCGACCCTGCCAACCCCTCCAGACTGATCCCTCAGCAGTGCTCTGCTACCCCCTTGCCCAACCTCCTGGCCGAGCCCTCACTGACCCCCTGCTGACCTACAGCACCCTCCCAAGACTGACCCCTGCCAACCCCTCGCTGACCTCCAGTGACCTTCCCTGCTGACCACCGCCAGCCCCTCCTGCTGACCCCTTAACCTCCCCAGACCGATGCCATGCCAGCCCCCCGGCTGACCCCCGCGGCCCATCTGCTTGTTCTGCTCCGTCTGTCTGTCATCTCTCACCAAGAACACTCTCTCTTCTCTCTCCCCGTTTCTCCCTTCTCCCCTCCCTTTTCAGTTTCTGTTTTTGTTTTTATTTTTCTCCCTAGCTTTCATCCTCTGGTCTTAGCTCGTCTGGGCCCCTTAATGTGGTGAGTATCTTAGGGACAACGTCTCCCCTCAAGGTCGGCTCTGTCCTGGGAGGCCACCTCACCCTGCCCGGTGCTCTAAGACCCTTCAGAACCGGAAGTCCCTGCCCTGGGGTCAGGGTCCAGAGGGGTGCTGATTTCCTGGGGAGGAAGGGGAGCAGAGCCCCCACTCCCCGTGACCCTCCCCATCCTGGGAAATGTGGGCACATGGCACTTTTCTGAGGTGCTCCTGGTGACACCTGGCAGGAAGCAGTCCTGGGAGCTGGTGGTGGTGTCCCTCTTGGGTCTCACTGAGTGCAGATGGGGTTACACAGCGTTGAGGCTGGCTCCCTGGTGCCAGCTCAGCCCTGGGCTGAGCACCACTGCATCCCTGGGACCAGGGGGGCATCCCTCAGGATTCCCTCCATCTGTACCCTCCCCCCACCGGGCTGTGATCACCAACCCCCAAGCCCCCAACCTAGCCCTCTGCACCTGCGGCCTCCCTTAACCTTATTCTGAGACCCCCACCCCCATGACCACGACCACACTGCCTGCGGCAACCCACCCCCCTGCCCATGCCCCCCATGACCTCAGCACCCCCTCACCTCACCTGTCGTCATTGTTGCAGCCCCCGGAGAGCTTAGGCCCCTCTCTGCCTGCCGGACCAGGGAGCAGTGGTTGCCCACGTGGAAAATCGGGGCATGGCGACTTGCCCCTGAAAGCCGGAGAGCACAATTCCGACCCCCTCCTGCTGACGGGGAGGGCGAATGGGGACCCACGCTGGGGCAGAACTTTCTGGAGCACCTCTAAGTGGGGCAGTCGGTGGTCCGTGTCTGACGAGCCCGAGTTAGGGGCTCCCCAGGGGAGCCTAGGGGCTCTGCTGACAGGCTGCCTGGAGGGGGCCCCACGATGCAGGCCTCCCCCAGAGCAGCGCCCCTGCGGCCACGCAGGGACCCAGCTGCTTCTGTACAGAACGCCGTTTCTGCACCCCTCAGCTACTCTTACTTCAGTCCCTGTTGGAGGCATGTGTGTGAGAACAAGGCTGGTCCCTGACGACCAGGTGAAAGCTGTGACTGTGGTGAGACTGGTGGACATGGGGTTTGTCCAGGACATCCCCAAGGAGTCCTCCCTGGGACGCATGGGACCTTGAGGACAACGCTGCACGTCCTGAGCCCGCTGGACAGACAGACAGGCGAGGGAGAACCCGCTGTCCAGACAGGTGTCGTCACCTTGTCACCTGTACCGCAGCCACCTGCCCTGTGCATCCCCTCCGCCTCCCCAGCCCAGATCCGGAGGGCCGGGACCCTGCACTGAGCTGTTCCCAGAGCGTGGCCACGGGCTCAGGAGCTCTGTGACAGAGGCAGACTGGAGGGGCCGCTCCACGGGAAGACCCGGGCCTCAGAGGCCAGAGCTGCTTCGTGGGCAGCCAGGGACTGCGTGGACCCACACAGGCTGGCCATGCTCGGCTGCGGGCAGCAGTGTGGCCCGGCCACCTCGTCCAGCTCCACCCTCACACGGCGGACAGTCCCCAGAGGAGCCAGCCATGCACCTGCAGTTCTGTGGATGTCAGGAGACACGAGCCCACTCAGCCTCAGGTAGGGAGCTGCCGTCACCCAGGCCTCGCGTGAGTCCTTCCTGCCCCGGGGGTGCCTAGTGGGGCGTGGATGCTGCCACTTTGGGCCTCTCAGGTCCTGGCCCTGCTCCATCAGACGTGGCGGTCTGTGGTCTCACCGACACCAGTGAAATTCACAGCCGGGCCCTTCCAAGCAGGAGCCGGGTGTTCACCCTCACCTCGACCACGCTCTGCTCCCATAGAGCAAGCGGTTCCTGTGTGCACCCTTCACACAGTGACCCTGCTCTCTGCCTCCCAGCCCAGTCCAAGTGCCAAGGTGCCCAGGGCGCTAGGAGGATCCCTGGAGGATACAAGTGTGCTGTGAGGGTGGGGGCCCTGCCACACTTCCTGCCCCCCAGCTTACTGCACCCAGAGTTCCAAATACAAAAGCTCCCCCTCAACTTGTGCAGCATTCTGTCTTTCTAACCCTGACCCCACTCACCAGGTCCCTGGGCACACGTGATGTGGGCCAGGCTCTGCCAGGGCTGCCCATCCTCCCCACTGCCTTCCTCCTGAGCCAAGACTCGGGGTGCAAAGTTCTTGCCTTGGCCAGGTAATCCCTCTCCACCATCCCTGCCTCAAGGAAGCAGTCCAGCCCCAGCCGGAGTGAGAGCCACGCTGTGCGGAGACTGCTCATGCAGGTGTCCCCTGGGCCCTCCCGGGTAGGGTGGCCGAGAACCTCATCCTGGGGTTTCTGTGAGAGCTGGGAGGACTGGTTTCAGCCCCCCTGTTGAGAAGGGCATGGACTCACCCACGTTGGGGGTCATTAGGTACGAGAGGCCCTCTGGTTGACCACCCCTCACCTCCAGGGCCCCAGATGGGGGTAAGACCGGCTTGCGCCATGGTCTCTGGCGTCAGCAATGGGAGCCGGAGCCTGGGCTTGGAGCAGGGCTGACTGTGGGTCAGCCTTCCTGGTGAGGTCACCTGACTTGTGAGGTCCCTGAGCCTGGTGCAGCCCTTGAAACATGGTGGGTGCTGTTGGTGGAATGGGGAGGGACTGTGGGATGCCCAGAGCAGGGAAGTCAGACCCAGCAGAGCGGGGTTGGGGTGGGGAGGCCAGGACAGAAGCGGTGCCACGCTGTGTAGTCAGAGGCTGAAACGTCCTTGGGAGCCTTGTGCTGGAGAGCAAGCCAGCTATGCTCCAGCTCAGTGGGGGGCAGCGGTGGCCACCCTGCCCACAGCCACTCAGCCCCCTGACCTGCACCCCTGTCAGAGAACACCTGTAGGTCATTTGGTGGGATGGCAGGGGAGGGGGCTCAAGGATAACATGGTATCGTCCCCACAAGACCCATGGTTCTTAGGAGAGGTGAGACGCTGTGCAGAGCAGAGGCGGGTGGGAGGGTGGGAGGGGAGCACAGGCCATGTCCCTGCTCGCTGGAGAGGGCACTAGACACGTTCTTGTCAGTTTCACCAGCATGTCAGGGTGCGTGGCCTTGGAGAGCACAGCCTGCACGTGTCATTGTCATTAGTGTGGTGCAGTGCCCAGGCACAGGCAGGACCTGGTCTGTTGCCTCCCTGAGGTGTATGGGCTGGACAGGGAGCCCTGGGGTGGCAAAATGGAGAAGCCCCCTGCCCCATGTCTGGTTGCCTGGGGGCGCTCGGGCCTGGCAAGCCCTCCGTCTGGCCCTGGTGCCCAGGAGCTTGAGCCACGCTGCACTCCATGTGGGACTGTATGCCTGTTGCTTGGCAAGTCCGGTCAAGACGGTGCTCCCAGGGGCAGCCCAGTCAGTCTGGCCTTGATGCCACACAGCACTGTGTGCAACCAGCCAGCCAGACATGCTGCTGCAGTCCCAGGGCCACCTGGGGTGGCCGGGTCGCTTCCTGCAGCCACCAGGCTCACTCTGTGTCCACCTGGACAGTGCTAAGCCAGGTGGGGCTCAAGGGCCCAGAGGCCGTCTGTGTGCTCCGAACTGTGAGCAGGCCCCGCCGCCCAGCATCTCGTGTGGCGGCCATACCGCCCCAGTGTCAGAAGTGTTGCTCCCTCAGTCCTGGAGGCTAGGAGGCTGTCAGGTTGTCAGCAGGCTCTGCCGGCTGGGAGGGGGTCCTGTCACTCCTTGAGCTCTGTGATGCACCCAACGAGTGAGCAAGGCAAGCAGGGTGCCCTCAGGCACCCTGGGTCAGAGAAGCAGGGGCTACTATGCCACGAGGGTTCATCCGACTCAGGACGCCGCTGGCCCGTCCCTGCGCCCACCATGTTCACCCTCTAGTGTGGGTAGGAGGGTGTCGGGACAGAGCTGTGCTGGGAACTCGCAGCCACCCCCAGGCAGGACCACCAGCCTCACACCGTCCAAGGGCAAGGCCTGCTTCCCTCGGTTGACAAAGGTATCAGAGGCGGCTCTAGAAACACCTTAGCTGGCACGCGTTTTGTGAAGTTAAAAACAAGAAGTCACTGCATTCTAAGGAAGCTTCCCCCTGCACGCCGATTAGCTTTCCTTTCAACTCTTTATTCTGGTAACGTTTGAGTCACAGAAGAGTGGGAACGTGTGAGACCGTTCTGGTGTAGCCCTCAGCCGGCTCCCCCTGATGCCAACATCTTGCGTAATCATTGTGCGACTGGCAAACGGAGAGATGAACACCCAGCTGCACACTTGGCTCCGACTCTGCCCTTTCTCCTGGCAGGCGTCCTCCTCCATCCGCAATCCTAGCTGACATGGCCGTCACGGCTCCCCTGTCCCCTCAAGGCTGTGACGCTTCCACACTTGTCTGCACCTCTCTCAGCCTTGGCACTGTTGATAAGAGCTGTCGGCTGTTTGTTAAAGGCTCCGTGTGATCTGATGTTTCCTCGGGCTCAGCTGGAGATTGGGCATTTTGTGTGGGGATGCTACGCCCTCGCGGGGGACACGCCATGTCTTAATACTGGCAACCTTTGCCTGGGTCACTTGGTTACCGGGCTTTTGCCAAGTTTCTCCGCTGAAGTTTCCCTCTGTAATTAAATCATATATACCGAGGGGCTTGGAGACCTGGTGGTGCAAAGCATGCAGTACTCATCTGCTCACCGCGAGGCTGGCAGTTGGAGTCCACCCAGAGCTGTGGGGAGAAGGAGCTGGCCCCGTGTTCCTGAGAAGCCTCCCGGGGAGAGCGCCATGGGGCGCAATTCCATGCCGGCCCACACGGGGGCGCCGTCAACTCCGCATCATGTTGCTGTTCCACCATATTCCAGGGCAGTGGCTGCTATGCGTTCTCCCGGGGCCTTTCTCCTCCGCCCGCCCTCCTGCTATTCACTAGGACTTTTCTGGAGAAAGAGGCCCCCCACTTCCCCATTTCTTTCTTGCTGTGCTCAGTAGCTGATGTCCTTGTGGGCTGATAGCTCTCGTTCTGGGTCACAGTCTGACACTGTCGTCATCTGCCTGCTTACTGAAGGTGGTCGGCTTTGGCCACCGGGGGTGCCTTCAGGTTCCCCCCGGAGCGCTGG